TTGCAGGGAGTGGCAATGGCAGACAATGTGAGGGCCAGGCTGGGCCTCCCCCTTCTCCTCCACCAGATGGGAACTGGGACTCGGGAGAAAGGCCCAACCGGGGCACGAAGGACTTGAGCAGAAGAGAGGCACTCAGTGAATGCGCGGGCTGCAGCCGTCGGCTCATTTGCATCATAAGCGATTGGCTTTCCCTGCTCGTCCCTCATTAGGACACAATGGGCAGTTGTTTGCTGGCGCAGCAGATCATTTACCAAGGGAGAGGGGACAGAGCACAAGCGACTGATAGGCTATAGTGTTGGGGGTTCGCAGCAACAGCCCTGCGTTCCACCAGCCACGGGAACTTTTGTTTTCCCGCTGAGAGTGGACCTTAGAGCGCCAACCAATCCCCTCCTTTGGCAGAGGTGCTGAGAGGATGTGGGACTTTAACAAACAGCTAGCGCTGGGGCTTCCGGTACCAGTAGATTCGACGTTCGTGTTCCAGAGCTCAGCGCACTTCAGCCCTGCAATCCCTTCTCCCTCTTTCCCATCTGGAGTTCTAGATCTCCATCTCCTGTTCTGAGCTTTGGTTCCCACTGTGCTTTCTCCGCTCTCCCTGATGTATGTACCTCTAATTAACCCTTGTTCCGGTAGATCTGGGAAGGAAGGTGGCGATGTGGAAACTGTCTCAGTGTTTTGTAGAGAGATAAGGAGGACAGAACAAATACTTGCTGTGCCGTGGGGTTACTGTTTTTGTTGTTTTCCCTCCTCCAGTTCGGGACCCTCTCACTTCTGAGTGCGCTGTGCTTGAGGCCTCTTAGAAAACAGGCGTGAAGTTCTTCCCCTCTTTCAAGGTAGCACGAAGCTCTGAGAGGTTGAGTAACTGGGGCAGGGGTACCCAGCTGGCAAGTGATAACTGTTTGATTCAAAAAAAAGGGTGTGGTGGGACGCACCTTTAATTCCGGCAGAGGCAACTGAACCTCTGTGAGTTCAAGGCCAGCCTGGTCTTCATAGCAAGTTCTAGGACAGCCAGAGCTGCATAGAGGGATTCTTGTCTCAACAAACAAGCAAAAGAAAATCTCTGTTCTCCCACCAGACATCCCCTCACAGAGTCTAACAATGTACACCCTCACAGAAGGCAGCCACTGCTCTGTTCTCCAGGGACAGTTAGCAGCTCCGCTGACTCCCACCTTTCTCTGGCCCCCTTTGCTTCGGTGGAACAGCACAGATGCAAGGCGTTTACCACCCCCCTGGGGGTGATAGGAGGCAGTGATCCAGACCAAGCAACCTGGTGAACCAGACCATGGGGGTCTCCCTGGTGCTGACAGCCCTTTGGCTGCTCCCATCTGCCCCTCCCTTTTGTGGGTCAAAGCTGCCAGCTTCTGAATCTGCTTCATTATGCTCTGGGGGAGGGGAGAGTCAGGGTGACGGGGTGTCTACATACATGAACATAAGGCCTCCGGGTTCATTCTGACACTGAATGAAAAACTCGCCAATTATTCGTCCAATCTCATTAATATGCAGACAGACATCTGTTATTTAGGAGTCAACAGCAGAGGCATGTTCTTGGGGGGAGGGGCACTTATGTACATCCCTGGCTACTATGGGATAGCTGCTTGGGACTCACCCCGTCCCCCCTTCCCCGCCCCCCACCCCTGGGGAATCTGGAGCATGCCCCCTCTCTCACATCTTCAGCAGCCCTGAGGAAAGGAAGTAGGTAGATGGAGATGGAGGGCAACCTGGAACTCAGCTGGAAGGAGGGAGGCGAGAAGAGCCAAAATTATAGAGGAAATTACTAAAACAAAGAGCCGAGCCTCTTCTCAGGGAGGGGTGGGGAGCAGAGAAGAGAGCTGCACTATGGATGGCCTGACAGGATCCTGATGTCCACTGGGAAATTAAAGACATGACTACTTGCCCTCCTCTTCAGGCCACTGGACAAATCCGAGTGGATCTGGGTGGGTTGCTCTAGCAACATGGGGTCCTTAGCAACTCCAGTGGGGTCCTTAGCAACTCCAGTGGGGTCCTTAGCAACTCCAGTGGGGTCCTTAGCAACTCCAGTGGGGTCCTTAGCAACTCCAGTGGGGTCCTTAGCAACTCCAGTGGGGTCCTTAGCAACTCCAGTGGGGTCCTTAGCAACTCCAGTGGGGTCCTTAGCAACTCCAGTGGGGTCCTTAGCAACTCCAGTGGGGTCCTTAGCAACTCCAGTGGGGCCCTTAGCAACTCCAGTGGGGTCCTTAGCAACTCCAGTGGGGTCCTTAGCAACTCCAGGAAAGCTGAGCATGGTAGCATATGCCTGCAATTGCAGTACCGCTGTGATGGAGGCAGGGGGATTGCAAGTTGAAGGCCAGTCGGAGTTACATAGTAAGACCCTACCTGAAGAACAAAGGAGCACTGTGGTCCAAGCCTCTACCCCTCAAAAATTCGCATCCGTGTGTACACGTGTGTGCACTTGAATGTGTGTGTATGCGTGTGTTTGTGCACCTGTGCGCTCATGTGGCACACAAGTGCAAGTCTGGGGACAAACTGCGATTTAGTCCTTACCTCAGCTCTTCCCATGGCTGACCCTGGGGAAAGGCTGGACTCACTGCTGCTATTGGACCCTTTATAGGCTGCAGTGTTTGAAAGTTAATCCAGGAGTCTCCTCCCCTACCCTGGCTGATTGCTGAGGTTAAAATACACTGACAGCATCATAACATGATTGGTTGTTTATTTCATTAAATGATTACCAAGGCTACACTGGTGTCTGATTTGTGAGGGAAGCAGCCACAGAGGAGGAGGCTTAGTCCAACTGTTGCATGAGGGGTAAGGGGTGGCTGTAAGGTTCCCTGCAGCCAGCAAGGACCCTTTTGAACCTAGGAACAGTCCCACTGCCTCTCCCCACCCAATGGGCTCCTAGATCCTGAGACCCATTCTCTTACCCACAAATATGTTTGGCGACACAGCCCTGCAGAGCGAACTAAATTCCTTCCCACTGGTTTTGGAAATATATTAAACTTTGGGGGTTCCGCCAACTGATTTATCTTCCTAATTATGTTTGCTTTAGGCAGATATTGAAATGCATTTGCATTATCTAAGCATAAATGGCTCAAGAGGAAGACTGGGGGAGTAAGAGGGCGTGTGCATTCTACACTGTGGTGGCTTTAGGCTTGAGCCTGCCTTGTATTGGGTAGTCCAAGAGAAGTGACCTGCCAAAAATTTCAAGTCCATTTTTTTTATTATTCCCAGACAGGGTTTCTCTGTGTATCCCTGGCTGTCCTAGAACTAGCTCTATAGCCGAGCCTGGCCTAGAACTCACAGAGATCCGCCTGCCTCTGCCTCCTGAGTGCTGGGACTAAAGTTGTGCACAGCCACCTCCATCACCACCCAGCTCAAGTCAATTTTTTTAAGGTGGGAAGAATCTCATTCTGTAGCTCACACTGGCTGAACTTGAACTCTCAGCAATCCCCCTGCCTCAGCCTCCCTAGTACTGTGATTACAGGCATTAACTACCATGCCCACTAACAAGTTCATTTTTATAGCAAGTTCTTACTGGGGAAAAACCAGTCTTCTTTGAGACACAGAGCCACAACCCTCTCCAGCACCTCTGAGTTCAAGACTTAGGGCCATTGAAGGAAGGTCTCAGAGTCAGCCCCTAGCCAGTTGAGGGGATGGGATGTCTAGTGCCAGGACTCCTTTAGGTTGGCAGAGATGGCTTGGGATAGGAGGCCCCCAGGAGGTGGTGCGAAGGAGGGAGGATGGTTCAGTAAGCCCGAAAATGGGGGGAAAGTTCCTGCCCAGAGAGTGGGGTCTGGCTGAGGGAAAGGCGCTATTTTCTATGTCATATCTCATAGAGCCCAAACCCTAATCTCCACCACCTCATCCATCAAAACACCCAAATCTAAACATTGTCAGCCAGAAACCCCTGGTGGCTCCTCACAAGGAAGTACTGACTCCCTCATGGGCTCTTCAGTGGCCTCGAGGGACCTTTCCAGCCTCGCTGACCCTGCTGTGGGAGCCTTGCTAGCCACATTCATTCCTCTATACTTCATCTTCTGTACCTATGCCAAGGGCACCCATGCCCACACACACACACAGCTCCCTCAGGACTTACTGGCTCAGGGAGCCCCACAGCAGCCAGTATGTACACAGGGTCCCCCAGCCAAGGTACCCTCTCTCCCCCCCTGGGCTAGCCTCCAGCAGCTTAGAGGCTGTCTTAATCCAGTGTGGTCTGGGTTAGCAACAGCGCATGCTTAGCAAGTGCAGGGAGGGGCGGAGTATGCACAGGGTCCCACCAGATGGGAGGGTAAGGTCTGCCTCCGTTCTGGAGCGGAGTTAGGGGGAGGGGAGAGCCACGGATGGTTCCTGGGGGAGAATGTCACCAAAAAGAGGCCAGTGGGACCAGAGCCAGAGGGAATACAGGACAATCTGAAACCAGACTCCCAAGGAAACAGACCAGCACTGTCCTTGCTGACAAATACTCAGGCCATTCCCTCCACCAGCTTTCATTCCCGAGGGGCTGGGGTGGGGGAGACTCACAATCACAGACGATGCTCCCCCACTAATAACATTAAGGGGCTCAACGTAGAGCTGAGGGGGAGCCCACGCTTTAGGCCCTTGAGGAGACTCAGTCCCCTTCATAAGCTTCATACAGGGTTCAGAGTCAGCAAGTGGGGACGCTTTCAGTGTCCTTCCTGTCTTCATGCTCTCTAGAGCATCAGCAGGCTGCAGCCAGGGGCAGAGATGACAGACAGGGGGTTTGTAGCACGCACTTCAGCAGGCCCCCTACCATGCTTGCAGGATACCCAGCCAGGCTGAGTGATGCTGAGTATTTGCTTTTCATCACTCCAAGAACACCCCTTTCTCTGCCCCTGCCCACATTAACTGGGGTGAAGAGTCCCGAGGTATTTCACTCTCCCACCCCTGGCGTCTAAACTTTATATTCTTTAGTGCATGCCTTTTTTCCTGTGTTTTCTCTCTGGGCAAGGATGCTGGCAGATTGGGAATGTATGAAGAAAACAAAAAAAGGGAACAAAACTAAGGCCATAGCCGTTTTCCATGGTCATGGACTTTATTTTCGGACTGCAGGGGAAGGGGAAGGCTAGAACTGGTTGCTGGGTTGATGGTAGGGAGGACTTCTTGCTTTAAAATTTAGTGTGTGTTGCCTGTATGAGGGCAGATGTAGAAGTGAGAGAAGAGGTCATCCAGTGGACACCCCTTAGGGAAGGCAGACAGGTATGGGAACTAGGGTGGCAAGGGAAGATACACTTTACATAGGAGACCCATCCAAAGTCATTGTTTGATGCTGGCTTCCTGAACACCCACCTGCCCCATCAAGTTCATGCCCCACATGCCTACCCTGTTCGCCCTCTCAGCTACCAGCAGAAAAGGGGATGAGGGTGTGGAAATGCTGACACCCTTCTATCCTCTAGCCTTCCAACCAGAATTACTCCTCTGCCTGCCCTGCCCTTCCAGCCAGGGTCAGGAGGTCAAAAAGGAGCAGGCAGGGGAACAATTCCATCTCTCCCCCTAGTCATTCTCTGTCCCCTCACATAAGATTGCAGCTCTTGGCTCGATCCTTATGTATCTCGCCCTCATTTCCCCGGTCTGGCCTTCCCGACAGCTGAGTGGATCTCTGCAGTCCTCGGCGAGAGTCAGTACGGCGCAGCTGCCTATGGCCACGGCCAAGAGAAGCCACTGTGGCCACGTGGAAAACATCCCTGACGCTGCGCTCAGAGGAACGGGAGGAACACTCGACGTAGGACACAGCCCCCACCTGCTTGGCTAGCACAGTGCCCTGGAAAAGAAGGGGATGGGTGCAAATTATAGGGCTTAGCCTGTACTTCAGAAAGGAGCATGAAGGTTGTAGGAAGAATCAAGGGTTAGGGTCAGAGGTTAGGGTGAAGCCATGTAGGATGTCTTTAAACCAGAGACCCAAACGAACGGGGCATGGGTGTAAAGCTAGCCTGGGATTCAGTTGCAGATTGTGGGTCTCACCTGCTCATGCGTAACAGGGATAAGTCTCTGCTTGGATAGCTCCCTCAGTGTGGCCAGGTCAGTCCTCATGTCCAGTTTACAGCCAACCAGCACCACCTTGGCATTGGGGCAAAACTCCTGAGTCTCTCCTTGCCACTAGTTGGGGGTGGAAAATAAGAGTTATGGAGGAGTGGAGGGAGATACAAGGAAAAGCCTTGATCTATGCCTGCAGAAATCCTTGGACCCTCCTAGGGGAGGCACAGTGTGGGAAAACTTTTCTTGGGTTGAGACCAGGACAGTGTAGAAGATGAGAAGACCGTGAAAAGAGCTTCAGTGGAGACTCAGGGTTGTCTGTCAGCCTGGAACCTTCCCATTCTCACTCAGCTTTCCCATACTTTGTCCTGAGAACAGACCAATCACACCCTCCCCTGCCTGGGAACGAAGAATGCCCTAACTTATGCTTTTACCACAGGCTTTTCTTATGGAAATAATGCCCTGAACAGGAGGCCACAGGGCTTCCCAAAGCCCCAGGATAGGCATTCCCAACCCTTCCATCCAGGGCTTCCACAGCCAAGGAGATAAGAAAGGCAGATAGGCAGTCCAGTCTCCTCTCCCCAGATGCCATTTCCAGCTCCAAGGACTGATTTGCAGGTGGGAGGAACGAACGGAGCTGGAGTAGAGGGATGCCAGCTTTATCCACTAGCCAGCTGAGGGCCATGCCACTAGTCCCCCCTCCTGGCTCCTTTTGAGCCCAGTCCCCTCAGTAGTTTCCCAGTTTCCCTTGGCTCCCACCTTCTTGAGGACATTGTCCAGGGTCTCTGGCCGGCTAATATCGAAGCAGATGAGCACAGCATCAGAGTCTGGGTAGGCCAGAGGCCGGACGTTGTCATAGTAAGAAGAACCTGAAGAAGAAAGAGTGGCCACCTGATGAGTGGGTGGTGGGCCTGGAAGGGGATGAGGGACTGAAGTGACAATGACAAGCAGAGAATGGAAAAGCGTGGCCCTTAATACCCATCACAGAGCATGTGGAGGGGAGCAGACAGAGAGGTATAACAGCTCTCTGCTCCCTGATGGGTTTCTCCCGTCTAACAGTAATAATCTGTAACCTTTTGGAGTTTGTAAAACCTTTGAGAATCTCAGAAAAATCTACCAATGTTCCAACAAATTTTGTGCCTGCTTTCTGGGCTTTGATGGCACATGCTGTAAAGTCCTCCAGGGAACCTAGTAAAAATAAAAACCCTTCCCCATGGGGTTGGAGCAGGGGCAGGGAAAGAGTGTTCCTGTCCACTGGGAACTCTAGGGGATGAAAAAAAAAAAAAAAAAAAAAAAAACCTACTTTCTACCACCGCCCTCCCCCCACCCCGAAATTCTAAATAGCTCTCCTAAACCCGTTCCCATTTCCTAAGAAACATGTTCCAAAATAAGTCATTTCTTCCCAAGTTCCTTGGGTAAGCAGAATCCAGCTGCCATACTCAAATATTAGGCTTTCTACTTGAAAACATGGTTTCTGTCGGGCACAAGGAACTCTGCCTCAGTTTCCCTACCTCAAAACAGAAATGGATGCTCTAATATTGGATGGAAGTCTGAGCTAACCTGCAATCTAAGGGTCTAGCTAAGGGAGAGGCTAGCATAAGGGACCTTGGCAGTCAGGGTGACCCCCGAGGGACTCGGTCAGCTACCTGAAGTATCCCACATGTTGAGCTCAATGCGGCGCTTGTCGATCTCGAAGCTTGCGGTGTAGTTCTCAAATACGGTGGGGACATAACTCTGCAGACACGGATGGGTCAAAATGAGAGCCTCTCTCCAGTCCTCACCCTGACAACTGCCCTCCTCCCTCGACACCCGGTCCAGCTCGATCCCTAGACAGAAGTTGGTCTGAGGCTGGGCCAAGGGAAGATCCGGGGAGCTACTGCCTCCACCTCCTCTCAGACCCCCTCGGGGTTCCTTTAGCCATTAGTCCTTTCCCTCTCGGATGCCCAGGACCTCCGACATTCTCCCAAAGCGCCATCCCGGATCCTCTGATGCGCCCAAACCCCATCCATTTCACCGCGTTCCTTGATTCCTTCCACTCCAATCCTCTGCAGTCCTTTCAGAGCCCCCAACGCCCCTTAACCCTCCTCGGAGGCTCTCTCTTTCTCGTCCCTGGTTACCCTGGTACTGGTTTCCAGAGGCCCCCGGAGCCTCTGTCACCCACTCCCCGAAGCCTCGGTACCCCTCTCTCCAGACGCCAGTTCCTCACCCCGGGGTAGGCGTCCTTGGCGAACACCTGCAGCAGCGCTGTCTTGCCGCACTCCGCGTCCCCGACCACTACGATCTTGCAGCGGCCGCTCTGCCCCTCCATAGTCCCGGCTACGCGCCGGCCCCCCGCGCCGCCCCCCTCCCGGGCCCCGCCGCCGCTTCTGCCGCCTCCTCCCCCGCCGCTGCAGCTGCAGCCTCTCGGGCCGCCGACACCGGCATCTCGCGGGCCCGCGCCGAGCCCCCGCCCGGGGCTGCGGGGCCCCCTCTGCCCCGCCCCTAGCCCGCGGGCCGCGCCCCCAGCCCCGCCTCCCACCGCACCACCGAGGGGCGGGGCCGGGCCGGGGCGGAGCCTGGGAGGTGGTGGAGGGGCAGAGCCCGCCTCTAGCTAGCTGCTGTGACCCCAGGAGGGAGCGCCTGAGGGTGATTATGGCCAGCGAGCCTCGCTTAGTTGAGTTCCTTAGGAATGGAGGAGGAGCGGACTAGAGGCGAAGTTCTGAAGGGTCGAATGCGAAGCTACACACACAAGCGCGAGGCTTGGGCCTTCTGTGTGCCCACGCGTGCACGCAGGTGTGCTAGTGCGGACACGCGCGGCGGCAGCCATCCACTTCCTGAACACAGGGGGGCGTGAAGTATCAGGAAAGGGAGGTTTTTTGATTTTTTGTCTCCCTCCTTCACTCTCCAGTCCAGTAAGGGTTTGGGGAAATGAATACCGACCCTAGCACTCCCACCCAACATGAGTGACATCATAGCTTTCCGTCTCCATAGCGACGGATGGTCGATCTGGGCCTGTAACAACTTAACTGTGGCCCTGGACCATCCCAGAAGCGTGGACTGAGTTCCTCTAGCCAAGTACTGAGTGGAAAGTTTTAGGGGAGCGTTTGCGTCCTCTGGTGGACATCAGTAGTAAGAGACAGGGAAAACTAAAGGAAGCTAGAACCGGGAAACAGACAGCTCTGCTACGGCCAGAGCTAAGCCCCAGAAGCCAGATTCAGCCTCATCTCACACTAACAATGATCAACCAAACCGCCGTTTGCACGGCATTTTTTGCCCTTTGAAAACTTTTCCTTAGCCAGGCGTGGTACTGTACCACTTTAATCCCAGCACTTGGGAGGCAGAGGCAGAGGCAGAGGCAGACAAATCTCTCTGAGTCCCAGGCCAGCCTGGTCTACATAAGTTTCAGGATAACCAGGACTACATAGAGAAACCTTTTCACAAAACAAAGAAGGAAGAAAGGGAGGGAGGGAGAAAAGAAGAAATAGAGAAAAAAGCTCTTTCTTAAGTCGAGGATGTTTTATCTTGTTTTGAATAACCCTGTAAAGATAACTAGAGCACACAACAGTATTTTACAGAAAGGAAACAGACACACAACATCGACAACCAAAGCTGTTAAGTTTAAGCTATATATGTAGCTCAGGGGCGGAGCACTTGCCTACCATTCATGAGGCTCTGGGTTCCATATCCAATACCAACAAAAGGAAGAGAGTGGGTAGAAAAAGGGAGAGTGATAGCGTAGGCCTTTAACCACAGCACTCAGGAGGCAGAGACAGGTGGATCTCTGTCAATTCAAGGCCAGCCAGGGCTACAGTGAGATCCTGTCTTGGAGGTTCAGTTCACATGCATAATTTGCCACTGCAAGTTCATAGTGAATGAAGTCTGGTTACTACTAATGGGTACACTCAGAACCTGAGGCACAGCTTCACCGGGTTCTGATCCCCAAATCTAGTGTAAACTCTTGATTTTTGGATTATCCTCAGACTGAGCCATGACAGCTTTAATTGGTATATAAGGCTTATTCTGAATAAATCAAGTCTCCGACCCTCCATGCCCCAGAACTTCTTCATCCTTATCAGCCACACGCATATACACCACCACCACCCCTCCATTCCCTCCACCCGCACCGCTTAGTCGTTTCGCGCTCTCCCAGCTGGGTCCGCAGTGGACCTAGCCCTTTAAGTCTGCGCACGAAGCTCCACCCCCGGGCAAGGGCCCCGCCCCACCCACTGGTGTCCGCAGCCTGCTCTTTCCTGACGCGTGTCCCGCCCTCCTAAGCTGGGCACCCTTTCTGTTCAGCTGGGAGCGCACGTCGGGAGTCTAGCCATGTCGGCCGAGAGGGAGGCAGCCGAGGCAGCCACTGCGGCGGCGGCGGCCGAGGCCGGGACCGGGGCCGAGGCCGGGGTCGGGACCGGGGCCGGGGAGGATGCGTCTTCGCAGCCCCCGACAGCCGAGGTGGCGAGCGACCCGCAGCCGCCCCCGGCCCCCGAAGCGTCGGCCTCCGCCTCGGCCCCGCCGCTTCGCTGCTTGGTACTCACCGGTTTCGGTGGCTACGACAAGGTGAAGCTGCAGAGCCGGCCGGCCGCGCCCCCGGCCCCGGGTCCCGGTCAGCTGACGCTGCGCGTGCGAGCCTGTGGGCTCAACTTCGCCGACCTTATGGCCCGCCAGGGGCTGTACGACCGGCTGCCGCCGCTGCCGGTCACCCCCGGCATGGAGGGCGCTGGCGTAGTGGTGGCCGTGGGCGAGGGTGTCGGCGACCGTAAGGTGAGCGGCAGCAAGGCAGGAGTGGGCGCGTGCTGGGGGTGTGGCTGGACGGGGAAGCCAGCGAGGACTCGGATGGACTAACATGGGACGCATGGGAACGCAATTTATGTCTTGAGGCATAGAGGGGAAGGATTTTCTGGGCGATTGGCGACAGCGTTATTGCCCCTTCCCCAACCATTTTTTAGTCGTGGCCGACGCCCCAAGCGGAGTTATGGGGGGGGGGGACGGACAATAAGGCGCCCAGGCGCATGCGCAAAATGACCTGCTCACCCCCTCCCCTATTAAAACCACACCTGTGCCCCTATCCACTAAACACTCCCAGGGCAGTTGTGGGCTGAGACTCCGAGTGATGACTAGCTCCGGCTCTTCCTCCCGAGGGAGCTTTGAGAAGCTGTGTAGACGGGGTTAGGCGGGGGCGCAGAGGCCGCGCCAGAGCTCTAGTCACATGCAGCCCCGTGGTGTATGGGGGTGTATGGTGGCCCCTCCCCGAGCTGGGCCAGAGGGGACACACCCATCATGGAGCGGGGAGAGCCTCGCGTCCCCCCTTTCCCCCTGCCTCAGGCCTTACGCTACTAAGGTTTTTGGCGTAGGGGAGGTGGGTTCGGGCTCCCATCTTTGTCTTGGGCTCGTTCTCGTGACTGCAGCACCATCTCATCTCCAGTGACTCAGCGGGCAGGCCACGACCCGGGGCTCCCCTTGAGAACTTCCGGCCCAAACCGTCTCCTCCTCCCTTTCGTAGGACCCCAGCCTCTGAAACCCTGGCGGGTGGAGCCCATTTGGACTAGGGTAAAGAGGTGTGGCACCTTGAGCAGGTTGGCCCAGCTTTGCCGGTCTGATTCACATTTATCATTAATCGCAGCCATAACCTCGGCCACATGAGACTTAACAGATGACCAGCTTTTTGAGAGATCTGGGGTGAGGCCTCTTCATATCATGTGTTTGGGAGTTTCTTTTCAAATCTGGCACCTTCAGGAGGGGCTTCTCCAAAGCAGTCTCCGAGTCTTGCCTTTGCTAACCCGATGGGTTTGCTGGCTTTTTTGAACATGCAAACAAACAGCACCTCCTTAAAATCCCTCTCCATGAATCCAGCTGTGGTCCCACCCTTGCCTTGTCTTTGAAATAATCCTACTCTTGGGTGATGCTAGAAGGAATTTGGGGAGGAGAGGGGGTGAAAGGGGAAGTTAATAGTTCGAGTTACTGCTGAAGGCCACCCATCTATCCACTCCTCCCCACACTTTCCGCCGGGTAAATACAGGATATCCTGCCGTGGGCAGGAATCTGCTGTAAGAGCCTGGATTCCGAGGGGAAGGCTTTCCCACCCTCCTGGTGGCTGCGTTGGGGAGGGGTCATGGCCCTGAACTGGGAGGGCTAAAGGTTAGGTAAGAGCCAGACTAAGTAACAGTTGCTCTAGACTACATCTGGGACTGGCCATTAGTCCACCTGGAAATTGCCCTGTTGCTAGCTTTCTTGGGTTGCTGCTGTATCTGCTAGACTTGAGTTTCAGGTCTCCCTTCCCCAGACCTCACTCCCAGGCCAGAATTCACAGAGAAGGTGCCATTTTCAGTGAAGTGTAGGGACTTAATGTAGGAGGTCTTATTCTCCTCCCTGTGGATCCTAAATTACCTGGCAGAAGCTAAGATGGGCCCTGATTGTCTAGGAAAGCTCCCACACTTCTCTCTGCACGCTCTTCAGAGAGTCAGGCTGACTGAGACTCCTCCCTTCTGTCTAGTTGCAGGAAGGATTCTTCGGTCTTTGTCCCCTTTCCTCCTGCAGAGACCCTCATGCAAGTGACTGGGAATGAAAGACATTGCCTTTTCCCTGTGGCTGGAATGATTGCCTCTTCTTGAGCATCACCCTTTTGTGCCATGTCTGGGTGTATGTATTTTCTAGGGCTGCCCCTGGGGTGGTCACACCCAACCATTTACCGTTTACAACCCAGGTACATTGACCTGCATCACGGCCCTTGCTATGTGAAGCCTTTCTTCAGTTACTTGATGACTTCTCCTTGTTGCTGTTATTATTGTTAGCTAATATTGCTAATAATAACTATGATGGGCAATGGTTTTTTTGTTTGTTTGTTTAATTCTTACAGTTCCCTTTATGCAGATAAGGAAACTGGTTAAATAATTTTTATTTGCTCCAGGCCACACTGTCATTATAACGGTGGGGCCCATTTTGGTAATCAAAGCGGTTTGAGCTCTTTAACAATGTGTACGCTTGCCCTAACTGGAAGTTTCTTGCGTTCAGGGATCTTACACAATAATGAAGCGTGTGATCTGTTACACAGTGATAAGGATGGCTCGGAGCTGATGTAAGGATTGAGCGTTTCCATATGAAGCACTAGATAAAACACTCAATAAATGACACTGTTATTGTTAATACTATGACCACTGCTGCTGCATCTGCTGCTACCTTATCACCGGTGGTCTGGGACATGGCGAAGGCCAGTAAGTCACCTGTGGGTTAATGAATGAGTAATCAAATGACATTCTTCCATTTCTTTAAGGCAGGGGACCGGGTGATGGTGTTGAACCGGTCAGGGATGTGGCAGGAGGAGGTAACTGTGCCATCAGCCCAGACTTTCCTGATGCCTGAGGCCATGACCTTTGAGGAAGCTGCTGCTTTGCTGGTCAATTATATCACCGCCTACATGGTTCTCTTTGACTTCGGCAACCTAAGGCCTGGCCACAGCGTCTTGGTACACATGGCTGCAGGTGACAGGTCCCATCCTTTCTTACCCCACCCTGATTTCCCTTCCCGGCCCCTTTCTATAGTCTGTCTGGTTTGTTGTCATGGTAACACTGGGCTGCCTGGCCTGTGGAGCCCAGAGGCCTCTGCAGTATAGTTGCCGTGGTAACATTTAGACACCAGGTCCAGCCTGCTGTCCTTAGCAACATGCCCACACCCCACACCTTCTCTGTCCAGTCTCTCTCTCTCTGCCTCTCAATTATGGAATTTAAACATGGCCCCCAGGAGTGGAGACAATGAAAGTGATGGACGGACTGGCTAGGTCTCTGGGAGGCTGGAGTGGAGAATTGTAGCTGAGTGACTCTGCCTGCTTCGTGCTGCAGGTGGTGTGGGCATGGCAGCCCTACAGCTGTGCCGCACCGTGGAGAATGTGACAGTGTTTGGAACAGCCTCAGCCAGCAAGCATGAGGTGCTGAAGGAGAATGGTGTCACACATGCCATTGACTACCACACGACAGACTATGTGGACGAGATCAAGAAGATCTCCCCCAAAGGTGGGGTAGGGCCTGGGATCGAGGAGGATGGCATGGGACAGGGAGAGGGTGTCTCCATGCCTGTTATACTAATACCCGCCACCTTACTCTGTGACAGGCGTGGACATCGTCATGGACCCCCTGGGTGGCTCAGATACTGCCAAGGGCTACCACCTCCTCAAACCCATGGGCAAAGTTGTCACTTATGGTGAGTGGTTAGTTGTCTCAGGTGCAGAGAGGTTGCAGGGGACATGGGGTGGGATACAAGGGCCTGAGCTTTTGAATGCAGAAGGAATGGAGGCTCCGGCAGCTAGGGTTTGGGAGGGCCCTGGATATCTGAATGCGGTTGCTGCCTCTGGGTGCTAGCCACTCTCATTCTTTCACAACTTTTCCTGTGACTCATGGTAATTCTGCATTCCTATTTGGGGATTATTTCCGGTGCAAGGCCAGCCTGTCCGCCTTCTTCCTGCAGCGCTACTTGGGCTTCTTGGGCAAGCGGGATCTTTATTTTAGAATCCACTTTACACAAAAAGAGCCGGCACTGGTGGCGCACACCTTTAGTCCCAGCACTCGGGAGGCAGAGGTAGACAGATCTCAGTGAGTTCGAGACCAGCCTGGTCTACAGGAGCTAGTTCCAGGACAGCCTCCAAAGCCATGGAGAAACTCTGTCTCAAAGGAGAGGAATTTCAGGAGAGAACTTTTGTTCGTTCTCTCTCTGTGCCAAGGGCTCCTAATTCTGTCTTCTTGTCCTGAGCACGGCACCATAGCTGCTGGAAAGCATTGCTTCCATCTCATTTTCTTTTTTCCTTTGAGACATGGTCTCACTAAGTAGCTCTGACTTGCCTGGAACTCACAGAGATCTCTTTCCTGAGCACTCGGGTTAAAGTCGTGTGCTATCATTACTACATCTAGCTCTCCTGGGTTTGGGGTTTTTTTTTGGTGGGGGGAGGTTAGGGGGAGTTGAGACAAGGTTTCTCTGTGTAACCATTCTGGCCAGCTTCTGAGAGATCTGCTTGCCTCTGCCTCCCAGAGTTCTGGGATTAAAGGCGTGCACATGCCTGGCTCTTCTTTTCTTTTTTTGAAGTAAAGTTTCAATATCTCAAGTTGGCTTCAAACCCACTTTCTAGTCAAGGATGAACTTGAACTTGTCATCTTGCCTCTACTTCTCAAATGCTGAGGTTCACGTTTGTACCACATTCTTGACTTATAAAGGGTAGGCTAGGCAAGCACTCTACCAACTGAGCTACATTCCCAGCTCTTGTATGTGTAATTTTTGGGAAGTATTTATTTTGTGTGTGCATATGGGTATCAGGAGGACATATGGGTATCCAGAGGACAGCTGGCAGGAGTCAGTTCCCTTCTTCCACCATGTGGGTCCCAAGGATGAAACTTTGGTTGCCAAGCTTGGCGCTGAGTCATCTCGAGGGCTCATTTTGTGTGTGTGTGCACAAGCTGGAGCACACATATATGTGTATGGACAAATCTCATATAGCCAGACTGGCCTCAGACTTGCTATGTAGCTGATAATGGCCTTGAACATCCTGATTCCCCTGCCTCTACCTTCTGAGTAGTGAGAATATAGGCATATGCCATCTTATCTGCCAGAGAGCGAGAGTTGAGTTTGGGCCTGGTAACTGGGATTGCCCTGGTGTTGAGGGTTACAAGGAGATAGAGGAGCTAGACAAGCCTGGCTTCAGACATACAGGGATGTACCTGGCAGCTAGATCATAGGCCATGTCACTCTGTCTCTTAGGAATGGCCAACCTGCTGACTGGCCCCAAGAGGAACCTGATGGCCATGGCCCGCACTTGGTGGAATCAGTTCAGCGTGACAGCCCTGCAGCTGCTGCAGGCCAACCGAGCTGTGTGTGGCTTCCACCTGGGCTACCTGGAGAGTGAGGTGGGGCTCATCAGTCAGGTGGTTACCCGCCTCCTGGCTCTGTACAATCAGGGTCACATCAAACCCCGGATTGACTCTGTCTGGCCCTTCGAGAAGGTGAGTGTGATGACTCCGGGAAGGGTCTGGTTAGAACTCAGAAGGTGCAGGGGCTCAGGAGAGGATCCTGGGGCCAGATGGGAGCTGTATTCTTGGGGCTGGCTGGCTCCGTTAAATGGGACAGATGGCTTCAGCGGTGGTCTTCTCTTCCTGTCCAGGTGGCTGATGCCATGAAGCAGATGCAGGAAAAGAAAAATGTGGGCAAGGTCCTCCTGGTTCCTGGACCCGAGAAGGAGGCCTAGGACGAAGGGCTAAGGGCCCCCAAGAGCCGGGAAGGGACAAGATGGGAAGCCCTGTTGTGTTGCCCACCAGCCTCTCACATTTCATCCTCTGTCATGATGCTCTGCCCTCCCTCTCTCCAAAGGTCTCTGCTGATGACCGCTTCCCCGATCAGAGCTTGCTCTTCACTCAGCCCCTGCCCCCCTTTCCTGCCCTCAGAAGAGGTTGGGAAGTGACCACTTGGATGTCTGGGTCCTGCCAAAGGGACAGGGAGGGTCAGCAGGAGGCTACTTCCTGCCCCCTACCCTCTCCCTGGGCCTGCCATGCTGCTTTTGTGCCAAGGTTAGCCAGTCCTTCCCTGTCCTGTCCTGACCTGACCTTCCCTCCTGCCCCACCGCCTCCCCAAAGATTCTAAATGTCAGCTCAGGGTGTGGGGCTAATCTGTGTGAGTCCAGCTTGTACCTGTGTCTCCGTAGTGTCCACACAATATGCAACCCAGGCCGATGAGTGCCCAGCCCTGGACTTGATCAGCACCCAACCTTGTCTCTTGCCCCAAATTTCTTAAGCACAATTGGATTTCTTACACCTCCAGTTTGCTGCCTTTAGGCAAGGCTCCCTCCTGCAACAAGGGTGGGGATCCTGCCAGCTCCCTAGCTCACAGTTCTGGGATGGGTACTGGGCTCCCCTCCCCTTCACTGAGGTCTCTGGATTTGTCTCAGTGCCTTAGCATAGGAAAACCTGTACTTGGGGGGGGCAGGGGTGGCGAACCCGTCTCCAGCTCCTTTCCACTCTCTCCTCCCCAGTGCCTTCCCTGTCCTGGTGGGGCTGAGGCCTTTCTCCTCCCCAGTCCTATAACACTGCCAAAAAAATCTGTGTGCCAGGGGTGGGAAGGGCAGCTCCAGCCTCTGGAGATCAGTTGCTTTTACTGTGATCTGTGCCCTGTCCTGTCCCTATTGGTGGTGAGGAAAGAGGCGGGAAGCTAGGCCAGGCAGAGTTCTGAGAGATACTACTGGGTCTTATTCTAGGACCAAAGTGAGTATCTGAGTACAGAGCACATTCCCCTTGCTGCCTTCCCAGGGCCTAGAGGCAGTTGGCTTGGAGGCTCCGCCCCAAACTTTGTTTACACTGGTGGGGGAGGAGGAGCTTGGGCAGGGGGCTAATGGAGTGGTTATAAGGACCTGGGCTACTGGAGCCAAAGTGGGGACCTTTGAGGCTGGGTATGAGTAACCCCTTCTGCTTCTGAGTTTGGGTTAGGGAAAGCGGTTACCCAGCCATTGTCAGTGGGAGGTAGGGGGAGGGGCCCAGCCACTCTGTTGTCTAAATGAGGCCTCTGTGTAGGAAGTGCATCTCTGCGTTTGTGTCCCCTACCCCATTACCACAGCTGCCTTTGTGTTTGTGTCAATAAAAAGCCAAACCCTGAGTTCTGACCCGATGTTACTTTTAAGAGTGGTGGGAGTGCCAGGTGGTGGTGGCAGGAGCCTTTAATCCCAGCCCTAGAGAGGCAAAGGCAGGCAGATCTCTGTGAGTTCAAGGCCAGCCTGGTCTACAGCGTGAGTTCCAGGACAGCCAGGGCTGTTACACAGGGAAACCCTGCCACTTCAGGGAAAAAGAAGTGGTGGAAAGAACGGATCAAGGAAAGGGCACTTGTCAAAGTCTGGGTCCTCCCTCCCCTCCGCCTCCCTCCACCACACTGGGGTTGGCTTTCACTGTCCTCCTAGCATTAGGCAGTATGTGACGCCAGTCCCTAGCAGGTGGCCATACATGCAGACCTAGCTTGCCAAAGAGGTGAAGACAGCCAGGCCCTGCTGCCCTGAGGGTACAACTGACAGGGCCTCTACCTCCCCGCCTCCACGGGTAGGCTTCTGGAAGTGGATCGACAGGATGTCATGCAATTCTTGGGCATCCAGGACATCGGGAATGTTCGTCACGAGCACCGAGTGAAGCACTTGCTGGAATTTTATCTAGGAAGAGAGCCAGGAGATGGCTAGGGCTCACTGGAATACAGGGCAGTGGGGGCAGAGGCTGCAGCAAGGAGTAAAACACACCGGGGGGGGGGGTCCGGAAGCCCAGGAAGGCTGCTGTATAGATAGGCCAGTGAGCTTTGGGCACCCTGAGCCCTCCCCAGGCAGGTGTTTGCCAGGTAGATCCCTCCCCGGCCCCACTCACCACTCACCTTGGTTTGGTGGATCTCCCCACTCACATAGGGAGAGACTCTCAGAGGCACCTGCTGCCGGCCCAGGGGCACTCTGAACTGGCCAATCTGGCATAGGTTCTGGGCCACTGTGAGGAACAGGAAGGGGTAGCCTTTGGCATCGAGGCCTCTCCTCTCCCAGGTTCATGCACCCTGACCCCCCCAGCCTCCCCTGCAGGGCCCTTACCTTTTTCATCAGCAAAACCTAGCATGACCGTCCCTTGCAACACCTCCCGGGTCTCCACATCCCCGCCTCCATTCTTGGCCTTCCCAAAGAAGATCTCCAACTTGTCTAGCAGCTCCTCCTCACTTAGCTGAAGTCCAGAAGGAAAGCCGCTGACTAGCACCCTGTGACTATCTGGCTGGCTGGATACCTGGCAAGACACAGAGCAAATGACCCACTCATCCATAGGACCAGCTGCTGAATCCCACCTATTGCACGGGAAAGGACCCTGCTGTCTGTCACCTGGATGTTGGTCACCACAGGCAGCTCCAGGGGCTGGATCTGCACCCGAAGCCGGCATTCCTCAATGTCAATTTTATGTTCCTTTTGTTGTAGCAACTGATCGGCCACTGGGGAGGAGGGAGGGGGACAACAACAGGGTCAGTACTGGGAAACCTTTTGACTGCCCTCTTGAACCTACCCCCCCCCCAATGATCTCCTCGCACCCAAGGCTAACCTTTGGGATCATCAAAGGTGACCAGAGCAGAACCTCCAGGCAGAGGGCAGCAGATCTTCAAGTTAGAAACTAGGAACTTGGGTACTTGCTTGCTCCGCTGAGTGTGGCCTTGGAAGGCCAGGGGGACTTCGGGCACTGGGAATGGAATCTGGAGGTTGGGGGAGGGAGGGAAAGAACAAATTGCTTCCAGAGTAGGAAAGTTCCCCTTCTGAGCAAAACGTGGCCCCCAGTTCTGTTTGGCTGATACTAAGTGCAGGGTGCCTTTACCTAAATAGATGGACGGACTGTGTGGTGGTGATGGCAGGTCATACCAGCTACTTTTCCCTTTTTTTTTTTTTTTTTTTTTTTGTCTTTTTCAGCCAGGGTTTCTTTGTGTAACCCTGGCTGTCCTGGAACTAGCTCTGTAGATGAGGATGACCTCAAACTCACAGAGATCTGCCTGCCTCCATAGTGATGGAATTAAAGGTGTGGACCACTACCCGCCTCACGCCAGCCACCTTTCATACAAACTCTTGGTTTGTCCTCCCACACGTCTGGGAGGTAGGTAATTTCTCATCACAGATGAGAAAGCTGGGATTCAGCAAGGAATAGTAGTTACAGATGTGCTTATATGTCTGTGGGTGTGTCCAGGTACCCATGAAGGCCAGAAGACAGGGTTATATCACCTGCATCTGGAGTTATAGGCTGCTCCAGGAGGTGCATAGGAAGTGAACCTATGTCCTCTGCAAGAGCACCAAAGTGCTCTTAACCACTGATGTCTCTCTCCAGCCCCTGACCAGCCCTTTTCTACCAGGAATACCTCATTTCCCACCTCACCTTATCTTTGGGAGAGGCCAGGAGCTCCCTTTTCTGCTGCTGCAGCTCCTGCAGCTTCATCTTGAGCCTGGATTGCTCCTCCTGAAGACTGTAGAGGACCTGTTGGAACAGAAGGGAATAAGAAGGCAACCATTTAATCCTAGTAATTGGGAGGCAGAGGCAGGCAGATCTTTGTGAGTTCAAGGCCAGCCTGGTCTACAGCAGGAGTTCCAGGACAACCAGAGCTACACAGAGAAACCCTGTCTTGGGGGTGAGGGAAGAGGATAAGAAGGAAGAGATGGTAGTTCTGGCTGACTGGGAAAAGCAGCAGGAGTTTAGAGGAAGGATAATCCCAACTCAAAGATGAAAGCAACTGAATCCTCTAGAAAGAGCCAGGGCTTAAGGCGGCAAAGCGTCATACCACTGTTTGCTAACTTCTGGTTGTTCTGGGGGTTGAACCTGGTCCTTGGGCATTCAAGGTGCACACTGTCACTGAGGTACACTCCAGTCTATTTGTTAACATTTACTGAGCTAGATCTGTATGCTTTCTACATGTGTGTGAGTGTCATGTTGGAGGTCTGAGGACCAGTTTGTGGAGTGAATTCTTGACCCCGCTCCCTGTGGGATCTGAGAACTAAATTCAGGTTGCTAGGCTTGCCCAGCAAGCACCTTTACCCTCTTACCTTCTTTTTCTTTTTTCTTTCTTTCTTCTTCTTTTTTTTTTTTTTTTTTTTTTTTTTTGTTTTGTTTTGTTTTGTTTTGTTTTTGTTTTCAAGACAGAGTTCACTGTGTATCTCTAGCTGTCCTGGAACTCACTCTGTAGACCAGGCTGACCTTAAACTCACTGAGATCCACCTGCCTGCCTCTGTCTCCTGGGGTGGTGGGATTAAAGGTGTGTGCCACCAATGCCAGGTGTATGGAGGCCATGGGTGACCCTGAACTCCAGTTTCCCCTACTGATAGCTGAGATTATAGGCTTGTACTTCCACATCTAGTTTATGCAGTGCCAGGGATTGAACTCAGGACTACTCAAGGCAAACCTTCTCTCCAGCTAAGCTACATTTCCAGCCCCTCCTTCAGTCGACGTGAGGCAGGGTGGTAGCATGTAGTCCCCACTGGACTACTACTTACCACGTAGCTCAAGCAGGCCTCAAACTCACAGCAATCCTACTTTAGCCTCCAGAGTTCAAGGGTTACAGGCATGAGCTACCCACCCCACACGTAAACTAAACCTTTCAAATGGACTGTATCGCTCAGTTCTAGCCACAACACTATGGGGATGCCCTCTTGTCCTTGTTTGTATAGATGAGGAGACTTTAAAAGGTTAAAGGATGTATCACAAGTCATTTGGCCAGGCAGAGTGAGCCCAGAGGATTCTACCAACTGGTAGGTACTTCCCAGTGAAGAAGTGAAGTCCTGAGTGGAGAAGTAATTTTCCCATCCCCTGGCTTGTCCTCTTCCCACATACCAAGCCGCCTGTCAGGCTGGTTCGAGTTGGAGGGAGTCCAAAGAGAACACAAACAGAACAGACAGGGAAATGGCACAAGGGATACAAATGAATGCACCTTTGTTTGTGGCAAAGTACAGACATTGGCTGGCAGAGCTCAGGAGGTAGGTAGTTAGGAAACCTAAGATTCGTCCGGAGAAGGGCTTGGAATGAGCCAACTTGCCTTGATCCCATCTGCATCCCTAATGTCTAGAAAGGTCGCTGGAACAGGTGGTGCTGAGGACATTCTGTGTGAGTTTGTTCTGTTTCAGGCAGAGGAAAACTAGAACTTGACCACATTCTGCTGGCTTAAGAATGGTGAGAAAGAGCCGGGCAGTGGTGGCATATACCTTTAATCCCAGCACTTGGGAGGCAGAGGCAGGTAGATCTCTGTGAGTTCAAGACCAGCCTGGTCTACAAGAGCTAGTTCCAAAGCCACAGAGAAACCCTGTCTCAAAAAAACATAATAATAATAAATAATAATAATACTAAAAAGAATTGTGGGAAAGGTTTACATCTGTGAATCAAAGGTTACAAACTCAGTGCAGTTACAGACTACTTAGATGACATCATCGAGTCAAGATCAATGCAGGGTGATGAGGAGTGTTTGAGTTTATTTTTTTTCCCCATGAAGATGTGGTTCCAATATCCTATTCTTTTTTGTTTTGTTGTTATTGTTTTTTGAGACACAGTTTCTCTGTGTAGCCCCAGCTAGCTTGGGACTCACTCTGTAGACCAGGCTGGCCTCAACCTCACTGAGATCCACCTGCAACATCTAATCTATTATTTAACATGAACACTTTCATTTTTCTTTTTTGTTGTTTTTATGTTTTGGACACAAGGTCTCTATTTAGCTCAGGTTACCCTAAACTCAAGGCAGCACCCTGCCTTAGCCTCCAGAGTGCTGGAATTACAGAAATGCATCACGCTTTTGCCCTTTTCTTCCTGTTACATATGATGCTACAACACTAATCTTCTCACAGATGTTCTTTGTGCATGATGGGATAAGCCCATTGTGAGCTGAAAATACTGTAAGTTAAAAATGCATTAACTTTTGGGGATGACCCCAAACAGGAGAGAAAAGACTGGCACCAAAAAAAAAAAAAAAAAAAAAAAAAAAAGACCACTGCCACCTGCAGCTGACTTGTTGCTATAATAGGATGCATACACCACATCAAGGCCACCAGAAGTTTGTCATTTGGAACAGAGTAGAGGCCACTGCCATCAGGAACTTTTCGGAAGTGTCTTCGATGGCCATGTATGTTCCAATCTCTATGGGAAGCTGTATACACGGCTCCACTCACAGCAAGGTAGTCAGGAACCAATCCCCTGAAGCCTGGAAGGACTGAACCCCATCCCTGATTTGGATTTGCCACCAAAGCTCCCCCACCCCCCCAAAAAAGAGCTTTCCTCATAAGAAGGAAAGACAAAACATCTGAGAAAAATAAAATGGAAATTATACTTTTAAGAAATTCGAACAGCACTTGGGAGGCAGAGACAGGCAGATCTCTGTACGATTGAGGCCAACCTAGTCCACAGAGGACAACCAAGCTATACTGACAAACCCTGTGCTGATATCTTGTTCAGACAGGCTTTATTTGTACAAGCAAGGTTATCACCACAAAATCCTGTCTCAAAACAAAACAAAACAAAACAAAAAACTAAAAGGGAAAGAAAGAGAAAAAGAAAGAAAGATGTATTAAGCCGGGCAATGGTGGTGCATACCTTTAGTCCTAGCTCTCTGGAGGCAAAGGCAGAAAGATATGAGTTTGAGACCAACCTGGTCTATAGAGCAAGTTCCAAGACAGGGATACATAAGGAAACCCTGTCTCAAAAAAAAAAAAAAAAAAAAAAAAAAGAAATGCATTGAATAAACCAGATGTGGTGGTGAATGCCTTTAGTCCCAGCACTAGGGAGGCTGCAGCAGACAGAATTTGAGTGCCGCTTGGGTTACATATCCAGATAGAAAGGTAAAGGAAAATGCTTTGGATTCACTTGTCACAGTTTAGCATTGCAGGGCATCAGTGGTCATCCACATGACTGTTTGCCATAAGCAGAGATAACATCATATTACAAATGGAAGAGATCAAAATCCAAAGATCACTTAGGGGTAGCGGAGCACAACTTTAATCTCAGTTTTGGAGAGGCAGAGTCAGGTGGGTCTGTGAGCTTGAGGCCAGCCTGGTTTATATTGTGATTTCCAAGCCAGATAACGCTATTAGTGAAGCCTTGCCCAAAATGTTTTTTTTTTTTTTTTTTTTTTAAAAAGGCACTTCCTACTGAATATGTGCCACTTTAACACTACTGCAAAGCTGGACCGTTGTGAGTTGAGGACTTATGTGAACTTCTGACCATTGTCTCTATGATAAGTATAACTTTGTAGTTGCCTAATTCAAATGCCCACCAAGTTGCCAAAACTTCTGTGAATCTGTGTGATCTGCCCCTCCCCACCACAGTGTTCAGGATAGAAATAGGGATTTATAATTGTTAAATACAGGCTCTATCCCAGAGCTACAACCCCAGCCTAGGAGGTGACTTTTTTTTTTTTTTCCCGAGACAGGGTTTCTCTGCTTCTCTGGAGGCTGTCCTGTAACTAGCTCTTGTAGACCAGGCTGTCTCGAACTCAGAGATCCACCTGCCTCTGCCTCCTGAGTGCTGGGACTAAAGGCGTGTGCTACCACTACCGGGCTTCTAGGAGGTGATTTTGTGATATTTGAATAATAGAGTCTCACTGCCCCGGGCATTTAGTAGTTTCTCATTAGACACTTAACTATTTCCCCTGCCTGCTGGATAAATGGTATTACACTAAAGTGGAGGTGGTGGTAGTGGGAGGCACTGGTGAGATGGCTTAGTGATAAAAACACTTGCTACAAGACTGATGACTTGAATCTGACCCCAGATCAATGGTGGGAAGAGAGAGCTTCCTGCAAGGTACCCTAACTGCCACGTGCTCACCATGACAAGTGTGCTCACATATAAACACAGGCAGGCAGGCACTCTGGTGTGCGCACACACAATAACAACAGTAATACAGATTATGTAGTGGTTAAGACACATTATTGGCAGGACTGTAGAGATGGCTCAATAGTTAAAAGCACTTGCTGGCCAGACAGTGGTGGCACATGCCTTTAATCTCAGAATTTGAGAGGTGGAGGTAGGCAGATCTGTGTGAGTTCGAGGCCAGTCTTGTCTACAGAACAAGTTCTAGGGCAGCCAGGGCTACACAAAGAAACTCAGTCTTGGAAAACAAACAAACAAAAGCACTTTGCTGCTCTTGCAGGACTCAGGTTTGGTTCCCAGCACCCACATGTTGGCTCACAACTGTCCTTAATTTCCCTGAAGGGGATCCAACATTGACTTCTGACCTCCAAGGGTACCAGTTATGCACATGGCACACATACATACATGCAGGTAAAACAATTATACAACAAAATAAGCCAGGTGGAGGTGGCACACACCTTTAATCCCAGCACTGGGGAGGCAGAAGAAGGTGGATGTATATGAGTTCAAGGCCAGCCTGGTCTACAGAGCACAGAGCAAGTTCCAGCTCCAATAGCTGCAGAGAAACCCTGCCTCAAAAAAAACAAAAAAAAACAAAAACAAAAAAAAGGTAAATAAATCTTGGGCTGGAGGCATGGCCCAGAAATAAAGAGCACTGGCTGTTCTTGGAGAGGACACAGGTTCAATTCCGAGCACCCATATGGTGATTCAGAACCATCTGTCACTCCAGATTCAGGTAATACAATACCCTCTTCCATCCTCCAAAGGCAGGCACCAGGCACGCAAGTGGTACATAGACACATAGATGTACATGCAGGCAAGACACACATATAATGAAAAAAAAGTAAAAATAAAAATTTCAGGGTTGGAGAGATGGCTCAGAGGTTAAAAGCCCTGGCTGCTCTTTCAGAGGTCCTGAGTTCAATTCCCGGCAACCACGTGGTGGCTCACAGCCATCCTTAATGAGATCTGGTGCCCTCTTCCGGTGTGCAGGCATACATGCAGGCAGGACACTGTATACACAATAAATAAATCTTTAAATAATTTTTCCTGAACAGAGAAATTAATCTAAACCAATTTTTAAAAGACAGTGGTGGGGCTGGAGAGGCAGCTCAGCAGTTATGAGCACTTGCTGTTCTTACAGAGGATCTGAGTTTGGTTTCCAGGATTTTCTTTTCCCAGTATGTATGAGTATCTTGCCTGCACATATGTCTGTGCCAGAAGAGGGTGACAGATCCCCTAGAAATGGAGTTGCAGAAGGTTGTTAGCCTCCACATGAGTGCTAGGAATTGAACCCTGATCCTCTGGTAGAGAGGTCAGTGCTCTTAACCATTGAGCTATCTCTCTAGTAGAGTTCCAATCCCCTGGAACTAGAGTTATGGATGCTGGTGGTGAGAACTGAAGCCAGGTTCTCTGCAAGAGCAACATATACTCTGTTGAGCCAGTTCTCCAGGCCTCTCTGCCTTACTTTTAAAGGCAAGATCTCTTATTGGTCCAGTAGGCCAGGGTGTATCCCTGATAAACCCCAGGGATGTCTCTCTTCCTCCCCCTGCTGGGAGTGCAAGCACACTGGGTCCTGAGGCCTGAATTCCTTCTCATGCTCGCAAGGCAGTTTACAGGTTCTCTCCCTACCTCCCTATAGGTATCCTTGTGAAGAAGTTTAATATCCCTACGTAGTAAGCAAGGACACAGGAATTAGACTGTAACTCTAGAAAGGCTAATGACTGCTCCAGGACAACATGATCTGAAGAAACTGGGTCCAAAACAAGGCAGGTTTGCTCTGGGAGCAAAGAGAGGCAAATGAAAGCTTTCCAAGCAAAAGAACTAACGAGAAGGGGAATCTGGGAAAGCGGGGGAGGACAACCTGCACTGGATCCCTCCAAGAACGTGGCTGCCCTCGGTAGGACATAGCTGGCTTCTGGTGCCTCACTGGATGCTGGATGGGCCGACTTCACAGCTCGACCTAGCTGCTTATGGCCTCAGGAGTCAGAGGGAAGTGAGGGACACCACCAGAGAGGGCCAATAGATCGTCGATATGGAAATCAAAGAGGAGGAGTCTGGAACTGGGACATACCTCCCTACCTCCAGGGCGTTCCTATTTCCCATTAGAGCAGGTACCAAGGAAAGTATCTACAAAACTCAAAACATATATCCACACAGAAATTAAAACATGTACCCACACCAGTCAGTGGTAGCACACGCCCATAGTTCCAGCACTCCAGAGTCAGAGGCAGGAGGATCTCTTTGAGTTTGAGGCCAGCCTAACCTAGAGTGAGTTCCAGGACAGGCTCCAAAAGCTACAGAGAAACCCTGCCTCGAAAAACCAATAAATAAATAACCCAACACAGAACGATCAAGGTACTGATCGGTGGTAGAGTCCTGGTCTCTGAGGTAGTAGGTAAAATGACCAAGTCCACAGCCTTAAGGTGACCCCCACCGCTCCTGCCCCCTTACTTACATGTTGCAGAGTCACAGACATGGTCACACCTGGTTAGCAAAAGCTGAGGCTTCAGATCAGGGCACAAGAAAGAGGGTCCTGGAATTGGGCCCTTTAGTCTAACATAAACTCCAACCACTTCTGCTTGCAAGCTTTGCTTCTACTTTCGTTTCTGTGAATTCCCGCCCCTGGGAGGAGCCTTGTAAGTCTTCAAATCCACCCACCCAGCCTGAGGCCTTAAGAGTCGTTTTTATGCTCTAGTGGACACAAAGGGAATACTGGCCCCAAGTAACCTTCCCAGTCAAACCTGGCATTAACCACTTGGTAGGATTTCCCCCTTAGATTTTTTTCCCCAAAGATCTGAGTGCTCTATCTGCAAGCACACCTTTATGCCTCAAGAGGGCACCAGACACCAATATAGATGGTTGTGAGCCACATGGTTTCTGGTAGTTGAACACTGGAAGAGCAGCCAGTGATTTTAACCATTAAGCCATCTCTCTAGTCCTTTCTTTTTAGACAGGTAGCTGGCTTTAAAAACTGCTACCCAAAGTACTGAGATTATAAAGATATGTGATAGCAATCCAGTTTTTTGTTTTCAAGACTGGCCCTTCTGGAACTCACTTTGTATACCAGGCTGGCCTCAAACTAATGAGGTCTGTCTGCCTGCTTCTGCCTCCCAAGTGCTGGGATCAAAGGCATGAGCCACCACCACCCAGGTCGTTTTTATAACTGTGTGAACAAGGGGCACCCACATACCATTGTGAAGACATGTTAGTAACATGACTTTTACAAGTTAGTACCATGTCGATTCTGGAGAATTATTTTATTAGGCTTGGCATCGGCACTAAGCCATCTTGGGCACACCTTCCCCCTAATTTTTTTTCTAATAGGGTTCAAGGTTAGGGTAGCATTTGCTGTCCTGGAACTCAGTCCAGGCTGGCCTCCAATTTAGATATCCGACTACCTCTGCTTCACCCTCACATGGGCCTATGATGTAGGTTCAGGGAAACAAACTAGTCCTAAGAAAATTAACTAGCCCTAGGATTTCTCTTTTAACTGATCTCTCCAGAGTCTAGGATGGTTAACTCCGCAGGTTTCCTCGATGCACCCAGGACTCTACTGTGTTGTGCTGAGACAGGACCCTTTTTTTTTATATTAGCACTTAAGCACCATGTCCCTTTCTAGGTTTTTTTTTTTTTTTTTTTTGATATGGTGTCACTATGTAACACTGTCTGGCCTCAACCTCAGAGACACACCTGCCTCTATACTGCTGTATGTCTATACTTTTTTGGGTGTGTTCCTGGAGGCATTCTTAACTTATTCTGTAAAGATGGCCTTGAAACTCAAGAGATCCCCCTGCCTCTCTGAGCTGGAATTAAAGGCATGAGCTTCTTTTCATGCAGTGTAGTCAAGCACCCAGGTTAGGATGAGATTCCTGATGGGAGAGGGGCTGAGCCTCACCCTTTCCTGCTTTGGTAGAATGCTGAACTGTTCTGAACCTTATTAAAAGGTCAAGGGCAGCTCCTGGGCAAAGGTTCAGTAAGTTCACTTTCTCCGAGGCTGTCAACCCATCAGAGGGTTCACATTTCCCCAGTGCCCCTTTCCAATGTCCTCTTATCCTTTTTGGATACACATGCAGCAGGCAGACACAAGTTTTCTGTTTTTTTTTTTTTTAAACTTTTAATGATGGAAACAAAAATATACCTAAAAGCGAAGCTTCTGGAAAAACCATTTGTTCTTCCCTGTCTTGTATCTAGAAAGAAAAAAAGAATGACATATGAAAAAAACGACAAATTCTTTCAGAAAGTAGCATTAACACTGCATTCAACAAATATAGGACTACTTACCGTTCCTCAAACTTGACCTTGGCTTCCCTCCTCGCCTTGCGTTTCAGAGCTGGGTCTCTAAAGACATCCTTGTTGACAACAGTTTTGTCCAAGGGGATGTCCACAGAGTACCTGGGCAATGGGAGCAGAGGCAGGATTAGGTAGGGACCTTATTCAGCCTAGCCTCGAGGGACCTGGGGGTGGGTGTCATCTAACTCATCCACTAAAGTCATGCTGCATCTTCATGCCACTCACTGGAAACCTCAACGAATATCCATTTCCACACACTTTTTAAAATTTATTTTATATAACAAAGTCCATTTAAATGAAAACAAACATTTATTGACAATATTTGGGAATTTGAGCGTTGTTCTTTCCAAACTACTTCCTGATGGTAACAATTTCCACACTCTTAAACACTGGGAAATGTCACTTTGCTTCATTTCTGAAACCACTTTTAAGAGAGACTCATCACACTTTACTTTCAATACAACAGTGGGCTATCTCTGTTTGGATCCTACTTGGCCAGGTGTGGCACACTTCTATAATTCCAGCACCCCAGAGGATGAGGTGAGATCCAGGACCAGCCTAAGCAGAGCAAACTAGACCATTAAGTAAAGACATGCTGCTGGGTCCCAATTCCTGTAGTTCCTTTGCTACCCATGTACTGAGACAGCATGTGCTGTGTCTGCCACTTTAAGGGCCTAGCAATGAAAACTGGCTTCTCACCAAACACTCTCACTATATAGCTCTGGCTGGCCCACAGCTTGAAGCTCCCCTGGCTTCAGTTGCCAAGCAGTAGGATCATAACAGCACTAGCACCTCAGCAGTCAAGAAATCACTTCTGGAGGGTGCCTGGAGACAGTTCAGTGGTTAAGAGCACACTGACTGCTCTTCCAGAGAACCCAAGTCCAATTCTCAGCAAATACACCCAGACAAAACATCTATACATACACAAAAAACTTTCACTCTATAGACTTGGCTAGCCTAGAACTTCAAGGAGACCTACCTGCCTGTCTCCTAAATGCTGGGATTAAAATGTAAGGTGTGTACCACAGCACCCAGCCTCAAGTGAATACAAGTGTGAAAAGATTTCTAATTGTGTGCATCTGTGCACATGGGAAGCCAGAAAAGGATGTCAGAACTCCAGGAGCTGAAGTACAGGCAGCCTTGAACGATGTAACATGAGTATGTTCTTGAAACTAAACTCAGTTTGCTCGGCAAGAATAAGCACCTGTAGCTGGGGAGTGGTGGTGCACGCCTTTAATCCCAGTGCTTAGGAGATAGAGACAGGCAGACCTTTCTGCCAGAACAGGTTCCAAAGCAATGCAGAGAAACCCTGTCTCCAAAAACCAATAAATAAGTAAAACCACCTTTATATAACTCTAGGGATTGAACTCTGATCACCAACAGCAGGCATAAACTCAGTCCCACAGACCAAAAGAAATCATCTTGTATTAACAGTGAGAGAAGGCAAATCAGACTGTCTTGTCAACCCTTGATGGACAACAAATACAGCAATCTTTACTTAATAAAAAAAAAAAAAATTCAATCCTACTTAGTTAAGTAACTGAAAACAAGGAAGGAGCTGAAGTTGGATGCTCACACCTGTAACCCAGAATACAGACATCAGATTTGCTAACATAAAAAAACACCTATTCAACACTTGGGAAGCAGAGACAGATGGATCGTTTGAGGCCAGTCTGGTCTACAGACCTAGTTCCAGGACAGCCAGGACTACACAGAGAAACCCTGTCTTTATATTAACAAACACCGGCCTTTTACCATAGCATCCACAAGGCTGTTTCTTCCTCAGGAGTGGAAATGAAAACCCATTTCCTGAAGGCTCACCTTGTGGGCATGAGGTGGTTGTAGTTATAAACTTTCACAAAAGACTTGATCTTTGATCGCTTGGCGATTTTCTTCTTGCCCATGGCAGCTGTCACTTTTCGGGGATAGCGGTCAATTCCAGCCACCAGGGCATGGCTGTAAGGGCGGTCTGAGGTGCCATCGTCAATGTTCTGAGGTGTGTGTGGGGGAACATAATAAAAAAGAAAATTAAATTATCTCTTGGGCCCACCTTGGTACAACTGTATGTTAATTAAATACACACACACTCTCCACACTTCATAACCACAATCACTCCGTGCTAAGTTTAAAGAGTAAACAGGACAGTAACTGTGAGCTAGTCAATGTTTATGCCCATCACAGGACTTTGCAAAAGCTTTTGAGGAATATGTAAAGATTCCATCAAAATATTTATGCACTCAGGCAGTTTAAGGCCAGCCTGGTTTACAAAGTGAGTTAGTTCCAGGACAGCCAGAGCTACAGAGAAACCCTGTCATGGAGGGAAAAGAGGTAATCATTTACAGTGATGCTAAGTCTATCTATCTCATCTATCAACTCCAGAGCTGGCAGTCTGGCCCCAGAGACCAGTCTCAAATGGCAGGAGCAGAAGCCAATGTCCTCAACAACTTCAGTAAATAAAGTCTCCTAGGCTAATGCACGAATCACACCCCACACCTTTAAGATGCTCAAAACACAACGACCACTATTACATATTTGAAGCCTATTCATACGGTGGAGAGTCAGGGTCCAAATCCAACTTACACTTGCTCCAGACCTATCACATGCATTTACCACATGCTTAGCCGCCAGGTCCATTGGTTACTGCTGGGAAAGGAGATTTAAATTCTGATCCTACCCATCCTGAACAATACTGCAACCCAACTTCCCGCGGGCAAGCCGAGGGTCTGGTACCTTCACGATGACGGCTTTGCGTCCGGAGTAGCGTCCAGCCAGGACCAGCACCACTTTCCCGGGTTTCATGAACTTGCCCATTTCTGCGGAAGAAAGACAAGGAGCGGCTCAGAATGTTGTAAAGCCTAAGGCCCAGGAGCCGAGTTCCTATGCGCGAGCCCGGGTGGTAGGCCCGCGACTTTAGATGGCTCGCTGCCGACAAGGCCACGCGGCCCGCAGGTTCTGCTTGAGCGACGCGACTCGCCACGAAGCCACCACAGGCTCAGAGTCTGAAGTGGCCCAGCCACGGATCCCGGGGCCGCGATGGCGGCGGATTGCAAGACCCTCTCCAGGCCTCTACTCACCGACAGCAAGTAGCCGGTTCCCAGCAGAAAGGAAAGAAGGCCACTTCCGCTAACCTTTCACCCTGCGGAGCGGCGGCTTCACTTCCTGTCCCGCCTTTCAGGCTCCGCTACGCCTCTCGGTTGGTGGTCAAAGTAGCTGGCGGAAGGAGTTCTTTGAGGTCGTGTCCGGCAGCGCGTTTATTTGAATCAAGCTTTATTAGCAGCACTAACGGCAGACAGGAACAGAGTTCAGCATCTAGCTAATGCAAGGAGGGGCAAACAGGACACGTGAGTCTGCGTTCTTTATGCTCGGTCGCTTCCTTCGTTGTAGTCCCCGATTCTGCCACTAGGTGGGGGACACAGTCTAAAATGTACTGTTTTGTCATGGAGCCAGGTTTTTATGTGGGGTACGCCTGTATTTCCAGGAGAGGTAGCTCCGAAGTTAGGAGCACTGTTTGCTCTTCCAAACGTCCTGAGTTCAATTCCCCGCAACCGCATGGCGGCTCACAGCCATCTATAATGAGATCTGGTGGCTCCACTGGTGTCCAAACGTGAATGCAGGCAGGACACTGTATATATAATAGGTAAAGATATACTTTTCAAGAGAGAGAGAGGAAAAAAGTAAAAGTCATAGGGAACAAAATGAGCTGTGCACTGTTAGGTAAAAACTAGATAAGGAAGATCAAACAAATGTTCTTATCTCTAATGGTCAACCCAATGATGTCAACTATTATTGACCAGAGTAAGCATGTGACACTCCTTTATTTTTAAAATTATAGACATATAACATATTTTAAGATTTTTTTTATTGAAGGTCAGATTTTGAGAGAGGGGTTTCTCTGTGTAACAGCTCTGGTTGTCTTGGAACCTACAGAGATTTGCCTTCCTCTGCGTCCCAAGTGCTGGGATTAAAGGTGTGTGCCACCAAAGCCCGACTTTTTATTTTTCATGTATGAGTATTTTGCTTGCATGTATGTGTGTGCACCAAGTAAGTGCCTAGTGTCCAAGGAGGTCAGAGAAGTGTTGAATTTCGTGGAATTGGTGTCACAGACGATTGTGTGCCCCTATGTCATTGCTGGAAATTGAACCTGTGTTCTCTCCAGGTCCTCTGCAAGAGCAGAGTGTACTCCTACACTATTGGGCCATCTCTCCAGCCCCTATTTATTAGTACTTCAAATGTTAATTTGTTTTGAAGGTTGTTTTTTGTTTTTGTTTTTTTCCGAGACAGGGTTTTTCTAAGTAACAGTTCTGGCTGTCCTGGAACTTGCTTTGTAGACCAGGCTGGCCTCAAACTCACAGAGATCCTCCTGCCTCTGTCTCCCGAGTGCTGGGATTGCAGGTGTGCACCTATACATCAAAGGCCTGAGTCTGCCACACAAGGTCTCAAGGATGGTTCCTGCAGCCCCCTTCTGAGTCTGATCCAGACTTGCCCAAACTTGTACAGATGTATCTAGAAATGATTAGACTAAACCTAGTCAATTAGAAATATACTAATGTAACTGCTGCTTGCTTAATCAGTTATGTAGTAGCTGTCCCTGAAACTCCCCTTGTGTGCTTAAAAGGAGCCTGCACGTCCTTGTCAGGGTCCCAGGGCCATCACCAGGTGAACGACTCCAAATGTATGCTGGTATAATAAATGCTGTTTGCTGTTACATACTATTTGAGTCTGGAATACTATTTTGGCATTGCCTTGGACCCTACAATCTCTATGAAGGAGCAGCTGACCAGTTCGTTCATCTTCTTCCACTTAGCTTGATGTCCACACATTAACTTCCCTAGGCATCTTGGCTTCCATGATGCTCAGTGTGAGCCTGCAGGTTCATATTGAGATCTCCTGAAGGCTGCCTCCTGACTGACAAGTGTCACCCCAGGATCACTGCATTGGAGAACACAAAGTATGAAGCACTGGAGAGAGACCCTAGGTACCTGCCTGGCAAAAATGAACAAGGAGGAAATGTCTTGGACAAACTACCATGTAGCTCAGTAAGAAGATCGTGCAGAGTGGAGCCCATGAGTATAATCCCAAGGCCCAGGAGGCAGTAAATAGAGCATCAGAATTTCAAGGTATTGAACTAATTCCACAGGCGAGTCATAGAACTCCGGCTCCCACACACAAATATAAGTTAAAGCAGTACAGGAGCAAATCTGGGTCATGCCATAGAGCTAGGCCAGTTCTCACTCACCCTAAACACTGACAGCCTGATGAGTGGACTTAACAGTACCAATTTCCAGAAGCAGCATGTGTGACAACATCCACTGCAATGTAGCAAGATGAATGAAAACAATCATAGCACTTTTGGGAGAGTCTGATCAGGCAAAAACAATACACATACAAACCCACTACTGCCAGCAAATCCTGGCTTGATCCAGGGTAGAGAGGGAGTAGACAGTCCCTAAAGAAATAACTGACCTAGATTACAAGGGCTGATAGGACTAGAGAAACTTAGAAAGCAGAAGGAAGCTATGGGCTTTGCCAAACAGCTACACAAAATATTATAATTTTATTATCAATCACCGATATATCATTATTTGTGATATTTTACAATTATCTTTTTTTCTCCTGGGAGTGGTGCTGAGGATTGAAAAACAGGACCCCAGACAAGCCAGGCATGCAGTCTACCACTGAGCTGCATCCCAAGCCCCGAAACACTTTTCTGTCTCATAGGGAAATTGCATTTATTTCCATTAAATGTCAATGATGCATCCTAAGTGACATGTCATTGAAACGAGTTAAAGTGTACTTCACGGGAACAAAGTGCAGGAGGCAGTTTAGTTCACACATCTTCGGGAGTGCTGGAGCAAGGGCCCCCTGGCAGCTGAAGGACAGGAGTCAAGTTCACAGCCGTGCAGGCATATGAAAATAAGTGATAATCCCCCGGCCCAAGAGCTGCTGAGCACACTAAGATCAAACCATCCCTGTCAGACATTCTTCAGGTCAGGTAGTGTGAGCGGGTCACAAGCCAGAGGCTGTGCCACTCACCCTGTGTGTTCTGTGAGTTCTTGAGTGACAAGGACTTTTTTGAATGCTTTCATTTCCAAAGACTGTGTCAGTCCTGAGAGGGTCACAGAAGAAAGTGACTTTCCAGAGATAGTACCTGACATCAGTTGTCGTTCTTCGTAACTGGAAGAGCACTGTCTGTGAGAATTACCTCAGCAGGGAGATTCCGTTCTCATCTTAGACTCACACTAAAACTCCCACAGAAAGACGGGGAACCAGAATTCCTAACTGGATTACGGTTCTGGCCCTAAGGCTCTCACAGCTGCTCCTGAGGGAGACTGCTCCCAACTGAACTAGCAGGAGCCTCACATTCAGGGTCTTTCAGAGCTCCCTCACTGGGACTTACTTGCTGCCACGAAGAGAACGGGGACCCCACCTGCGGTTTCTTTTTTTTTTTTTTTTTTTGGTTTTTTGAGACAGGGTTTTTCTGTATTGCTTTGGAGCCTGTCCTGGAACTCACTCTGTAGACCACACTGACCTCAAACTCATAGAGATCCGCCTGCCTCTGCCTCCCAAGTGCTAGGATTAAAGGCGTGCGCCACCAACGCCCGGCCCAACCTGTACTTTCTAAAAAGCAGATATGCCACAGTGAGCTGGGCATCAGCTATGTGTGGTAACTGATTTTGTTAACGCAGTGGGACAGATGTACTGTGGTGGGCTGGGGTGGCTCTCTGCTTGCTTTCAAGTGTCCCAAGCTTGGCTGTGTGCATGCTTTCCAGGCCCACACCCCTGAGCGACAGACACCTCTAGTCCTGATACTCTTTTTCAGATTTTATTAAACTGGTCTATGTTTGGGCAGGGGCGCACACGTTCCACACAGTTCATGTATGGAGGTAAGAGGATAATTTGTGAGAGGACTCTCCCTGTATCATGTGGGTCTCCAGCATCACTCAGATTGTCAGGTGTGATGCAAGCATCTTTACCTGGTGAACCATCTCTCTGACACTATTTTTGATGACAGTCTCTGGCACATCTTTCTATTACGCTAGGAGGAAAACAGACTTTGCCTCCATTTGGCTGACCACCTGAAAAGGGTTTAAGAAAAATGTCTGTAACCTTCCCTCTAGCTCCCTGGCTGGTACTCAGAACCCTAAGACCTCTACCTCTTTAAAGTAAGGCATGTGGGGCCCAAGGTCAGGCTAATCTTCAAAAGGCATCCTTGATGTTCTTGAGCTGGCGCACCGCCAAGTCTACGGGAAGGCTGAACTTGAGGCTGCTGAGGCGGCTGAGCAAGTTGAGGGCACTCTCGAAACCTGTGTGAGCCATGTAGCTCCAGGGCTGGTAATGGGGCTCGATGAGGGACCCTGACTTGCAGATGAGGTTCACCCAGGACACCAGGCGCTGCTCATTCAGTGCCATGCATACCAACGCCTTCAGCTCTGAGTCAGCACTGCGCTTGAAAGGGTCGTGCTCTGTCAGCACCAGGTGGATGGCTGTCAGAAGGCTCTGTTTGGGGGTCACGGTGCTGCCACCCATTACAGGAAGGGCAAACGACTGTGAGAGCTTCCGGGCTGGGGATTCCACATATGCACGGCCATTCTTGGCATGATAGTACTTTACAAAGAGCTCCCAGGGGTGCATGGTCTCGGGGGCTGAGGAGAAGGCTGGCAACAAACAAGCAATGGGGGCCATGACAAGGCTCATCCCAGAGGAGGTGGCATATAGTCCGTGGGCCAGCAGGTCCCTCACAGCCACTGTCAGCTCCTTCCGCACAGCCATGGTCAGCTCATCCTTGCCTCCTAGAGAGAGGTCCTGGAGGTTGGCCGAAGTGATGACATGGTCATGTGGCTGATGTCTCAAGGCTAGCTGCTTTACTCTGTCTACTGACACTTCCAGCCGTTTCAGTAAGGGAGAGTAGTCTCTGTCTGCCTGACCCCTCTGCCACAAGGACTGAGGGATCTGGCCTGTGGCACAGCCCAACTGGCTGACAGCAAAGATCTGCAGCACAGCCAGCGCTCGACGCATCAGGTGTAGCCCCGTTTCCCGGACTCTCTTCACGTCTTCTGCCTTTGCTGCTTAGAAAACAGTGATTTGTTAGAAAGAGGCCAAGATGACATAGAACATTCAACAAGTTACAAGCCGAGAGCAAGTCCTGCTCCCAAGCCATAGGCACTGGTGCCACATGAAGGCAAGGATGTAGCTGGACTGACTTTTTTTTGGCTGATGATACTAACTGTAATTGAGATACTGTGCAGACATCCATTTCTAGTACACAATTCAGGCTGCTGGCTTTTTCACCCAGGATCTTGCTGTCATGGCAATCATCACCTCTCAGCCTCCCTATTGCTGGGATTTCAAGAAGGCACCACCATGTCCAGGTTGGCCTCAAACTCTATCTTCCTGCCTCAGTTTCTCCAGTGGTAGGATTACAGGTGTATGCTACATGCTCAGCTTCTTTGGTTTTGTTTTTTGGTGTTCACGATTAAATCCAGAACTCTAGGCTCTATCCACAATAGACATATACTAGCCACCTCTCCCAGATCTAGTCATTTTCTTTTAAAGTTATAGTTAAGAATTGTACATACCTTGCCAGGTGTTGGTGGCACACAACTTTAATCCCAGCACTTGGGAGGCAGAGGCAGGAGGATCTCTGTGAGTTTGAGACCAGCCTGGTCTACAAGAGCTAGTTCTAGGACAGTTTCTAAAGCTTCAGAGAAACCCTGTGTCAAAAAACAAAACCCAAAAAAAAAAAAAAAAAAAAAAAAAAAAAAAGAATTGTACGTACATCATCATATTAGAATGTTTTTATCATGCCTCAAAGATACCCTGTATCATTATAATTTCCTCTGCCCCATTTGTTCTTAAGACTCAAGCAATCACTAATTCATTCGCGTGTGTGTGTGTGTGTGTGAATGCTCTTAAGGGCAGAGGACAACCAGAGAGAGTCAGTTCTCTCCTTCCACCGTGTAGTTCAGGGAGCCAGCCACGTCCCCAGGCTTCTCAGCAAGGACTTTTGCCTGCCGAGCCAATCTACAGCTCTTTCTTTTTGCTATATAGAATCTCGGTGTGTAGTCCAGATTGGCCTTGAACATTTCTTTTCAATTATTTTTTCATTTTAAGTGCATTGGTGTTCTGACTGCATATACATCTGTGTGAGGGTGTCAGATGTTGGAGTTAAATACAGTTCTAAGATGCGATGTGGAATTGAACCCGGGTCCTCTGGAAGAGCCACATTCAATCCCTAAGCCCTCTTTCCAGGTCCTAACCTTGAATTTTCAATCCTCCTGCTTCTACCTCCCACTATCTGCTTTTGTAGTCTGTGCATTCTAGGAACTGTACTTACTTTTGCTGGCCCCTGGGGGCAGTGTGCTGCTGCCCATTCTGGTGGAGCTGTTTTCTGTCTTCCCGCTGGCCTTGCACTCACAGTGTCCACTTGTCTGCAAGGGGCTTCCCACTTCATCTGTCATCAGAAGTTACAAAACCAAGACACTTATTTATACCCTTCATAGCACATTTGTATTTTTTATTCTTTTTTTAGTTTAGGTTTTTCAAGACAGGGTTTCTCTGTGTAGCTTTGTAGACCAGGCTGGCCTTGAACTCACAGAGATCTACCTGCCTCTGCCTCCCAAGCTGGGACCAAAGGTGTGCGCCACCACTGCTGGGCCTCATAATAGATTTTTACAGAGAAAAGGATAGTTAATAATTCCTACTGTATGACCAGAATTTTATAAATTATTGTGTTTCACTGTGTAAAGGTGTCTGGTACAGCATAGCTGGCTCAATAAATATTTGCTTAGCAAATGAAGAATGAATCATCCCCAGTGAAGAGAGTAAAACTAAGAGGGGAGGAATCTGCCGAGGACATGAGCCAGCACTGGCCCTGAAAGACATGCTTTGAGATAATGCTCTTTCCATTCTTCTGTGGCACACATAAGAGCAGCCTAGCCTGGCGCCCACTCTAATTAAACAGGCTGGCCTATAAGTGAGAGGTCTGCCAGTCTCTGCCTCTGCATTCAAGGACTAAAGGCATGCAGAACCTCATCCATTTCAACTCTTAAATTCTCTTAAACACAGTGAGAAGTGGCCCCTTTAGATACCAGTTCTCAGACCACACCAACTACTACACTGTTCAGGCTTCTGCTTCCCAGATGCCTCTAACCTTGGATGAAGCTGATGAACATCTCAAGGTCTCGGATCTGGGTTTTCAGTTGCTCAACCAACTGCTCTTTCACCCGAGCTGGGTTGACAATCTGAGCCACTGCTGCGTCCACACGCTGACGAAGCTCCTCAGTTGACAGGGAACTGATGTCCTCATTCAGATTCATGTCCAGTTTCTTTATTAACTCATCGATGATCACCTATCAAAACCACAGCAATGAGTGTAACCTTTGCAATGTTCAAAGAGGGTTAGGGAGGAGAATCTTAGTGAGGCTTCTATGTCCAAACATAAATAAAATTGGAACAGACCTTCAGGAGAAAATGATGCTGCTGCTGATTAAGATGAGGATGGCCTGAGTAATGGCTCCTCAGATAAAAGCACTTGTTATACAAGCCTGGTGGCCGAGTTATACCCTCAGAATCCACATAAAGGTGGAAGGAGAGAAACGTGTACTGTGGCACATGAGCATCCACTTTCATACAACTGTACAGCGTTGATGGCCTATATAACAAGTTAGTGGCCAGCCCAGGCTAAATAACTGTCTCAAAAAACAAACAAGCTGGGCAGTGGAAGCAAATACCTTTAATCCCAGCACTTAGGAGGCAGAGATGGGCAGATCACTGGGAGTTCAAGGACAGCCTGGTCTACAAAGTGAATACCAGGACAACCAGGCTACAAAGAAACCCTGTCTCAAACAACCAACCAAATAAACAAACAAAACAAAACAAGCTGGGTGGTGGTGGCTCAGGCCTTTAATTCCAGCACTAGGAAGGCAGAGGCAGGCAAATCTCTGTTGAGTTCGAGGCCAGCCTGGTCTACAAAGCGATTTCCAGGACAGGCTCCAAAGCAATACAGAGAAACCCTGTTTCAAAAAAACAACAAAACAAAAGAACACATAGTTCCTTTTGATCAGAAATGGCACCCCTCATGCACTGTGAGCTCACCATGCCAGTTAACTTCCTCCTTTAGATCAAGCTGAATGATCCAAAGTGGCTAGAGAGCTTCATATTTGGGCTGGAGAGATGGGCCAGCAGTGAAGAGTGCCAGCACTCTTCCAGAGGACCAGGTTTGGGTTCCCAGCACCCATATGGCAGCTAACAATCTTTGTAACTCCACTTTAGAGGGCCTGCCACCTTCTTCTGGCTCCCAGGGCATGAAGTGCCATGGAAGGTACACAGACCTATATGCAGGCAAAACACTCATACATATAAAATAAAAATAAATAAAATCTCCCAAACCTTGGGAAGCAGAAGCAGATGGATCCCTGTGGGTTCAAGGTCAGCCCCGTCTGCAGAGTGAGTTCTAGGATAACCAGAGCTACACAGAAAAACCCTGTCTTAAAAAACAAAACAAAACAAAAGCTCCCCAAAACCTCATACTTGCTCTAAAGGCTTCAAGTGAATATATCCTTCTTATTGATGAAAACAAATGATAAAGAAACTTTGAAAGGAAGGGAACAAGAAAGAGAGACTGGTTCCAGGAAATAGCAAACTTTCCCTTTGATTTGTACCCGGGATTCTTGGTAAGGCCTTGGGGGAGGCTATGCTGGAATATCACCAGCAGGAATACATTAACCATAAGAAATGCTGGAGCCACTTCTGAGGACTGCTTACCCGTTGTCTTTCCAAGACCACGGACTGCGGCAAGGAATCATAACTGCCCTCCTGATACGCAAAGGTTTCCAGGTCATCCAGCTGGGTCTTGAGCTGCAGAATCAATTCTTTCTGCTTTTCCCTCTGGGTTTCTAGGCGCTCTCGTTTTTCCTGCTCACTCTATGAAGAGAAAAACACTTGGGTCTATTTCACAGAAAAGAGAAGCCAAGGGCACTTTATAGAACTTGGGCCAATAATGACCAGGAAAATACAAAACATTTCCAAACAATTCAATGAAAACAATTGACAAGGCAGGTTCAGCAGTAAAAACATACTTCCCTCAAAGCAGCTGATTACATGTGTGTTTTTCTTTTTTTTTTTTTTTTTTTTTTTTGGTTTTTGGAGACAGGGTTTCTCTGTGTTAGCCCTAGTTGTCTTGGAACTCACTCTGTAGACCAGGCTGGCTTCAAACTCAGAGATCCACCTGCTTCTGATTCCCAAGTGCTGGGTTTAAAGGCCTGCACCCCTGTATCCCTATACATGTGTTTTAAAAAAATGGTCACTCCTTTATTGGAAACAGGACATAAACACAATGAAGCCTTTTGTTAAAAGAATTGTTTTTCAAAGGTCTAGTCAGGAGAGAAAAAACTTAGGTACGATGGCCTCCTGGAGTTAAAGGTGTCATCTTTATGGCCAGTTAAGTCAGTATAATTCCTCACTAGTCAGTTTAAACCAATTTTGCTAAACCGTCTGGGGGAATGAACCTTGTATGGTGGCTTGTGCAGACTCAAGGATTAGAAGTTCTAGTCCAGCATGAGCTAGATAGCTAGTCTAAAGCTAGGCTGGGCTTTATGAGACCCCCATCTCAAAAAGCAAGGCCTGGGGATTTGAGTATAGAGAAAGACTTTATATAGAGAGAAAACCAGTTTTCTGAAATTTCAAAGCTGCTAGGAAAGGTTATAGCAATTTCGGTAAAACGGGAAACAATGACATGTCAGTACCTAAGGCACAGAAATACAGAGAAGCCAAGTCACAGGGGTGGGAAGGTAACAATGTGGTATGTGGGCATATGTGTGTGTTAGGTTTCTCTGAGGATGATCCCTTTTTCATGGCAATCACCACATGGCTTCTGTCTTTAAGTTATTAAAAGTCTTTCACAGTGATCAAGTTTTGACAACATGTTCTTAGACACTGGGTCTTCATCTCTGAGTACAAATCCTAAACAAAACAAAAAGCAAGCCAGACATGTCCTTGTTCACTTCTACTCCTCAGTGAGTTTCAGACCAGTCTGGATTGCATACACATACAGACTGAAACTGAAAAAACAAAACAAAACAAACAAACAAATTAAAACCAACCAAACAACAACAACAAACAAAGGAGGAGAGGCAGTAAGTCACTTGTGGCATAAGACTGCATTTTAAACTAGGATCTACACGGTAGTAAACTTGATGTAGGGTTGTACTTCCAAGCCCTCAAGAAGCAAGGTGTGAGAAAGAACAGATGAAAAACAAATAATTAACTTTTCGCTCAACTTCTTAAAAAGTAATTGTTGTTCTTTTTTTAGCTTCGTTGAGCATGAAAGCAAGCCTCAGGATACTCTTCTATCCTTCCTGAGTCTTACTGCTTTTTCTCAGAGCCCCCTTCTCTTTCTCAGCTCAGTAACTAGGTCTCCACTGGAAGCTTTCTCTGATTTTCTCTAGGCACAACAAGTCATTCCTTCCTTTGTATTGTGTACATTTACTCATTATAGTATTTGTTTAGTACCTGTGTCTACTAATCTACAAACTCCTAAAGGGCAAAGGTCTTGAATTTCAACCCTAATATACCTAGATTTGAGCCCAGGATGAGGGGAATTCTCAGTGCATAGTTCTTTTCTGCCTTAAAAAAATATTTTTAAAATTTTATTTTATGCTTACGGATATTTTGTCTGCATGTATGTTTATGTACCATGTGAGGGCCTGGTGTCCATGGAGGCCAGAAGAGGGGGGAATCCAATCCTTTGGAACAGGGTTTGTAGACAGTTGTGGGCTGCCATCTTGATGCTGGGAATCAAACCTGGGTTCTCTGCAGCAACAGCCAGCGCTCTTAACTGCTGAACCATCTCTCCAGCCCTCAGTACATATTTGTTATGTGTTTTTGGACTGAATTAGGTACAGAATAACAAATTCCAAATAATGAACTCTGGCTGGAGGATGTTATCTAATCAGTCAAAAAAGAAAGAAACGAAGGATAGTCTATCTTTGTCATCCTGTTGTGAAGCCAAGGAAGAAAGAAACCAGCTATAAATCCGTGTTTGTTTCCATGGCTACGCCTGCCAAAGTCTGTCACTTGCTGTCGTAGTTACAGCGTATTTGCTGGAGTGGAGCAAACAAATTTAACAGAGAGAACAACAGTAAGTTCTGGGGCAAGGCAGGAAATAATAGATTTAATTTCCAGGACAAAATGAGATAACGTTTAAAGTAATTTGGAGAGGCTTGGGACGTAGCTAAATTGGTGAGGCGCCTGCCTAGCATGTACTAGATGCTAGGTTCAGAGACAACACTGGATAACTGGGTATGGTCCCTATGCCTGTAATCTCAGTATTCAGAAGATGGAGGCAAGAGCCACTCAAATATATTAAAAAAAAAATTCAAGATTATTCTATAGCAAGTTCAAAGGCAGCCTTAGCTAGAGAAACTGCCATTAAAAAAAAAAAATTACGGGGTTAGTGGGGGCACATGCCTTAATCTCAGCACTCAGAAGGCAGTGGTAGGCGGATCAAGGCCAGCCTAGTCTACAAAGCTAAATAGAGAAATCCTGTCTCAAGGGGGGGGGGGGGATTCAGCGGCTTAATAGGTAGACAGAGCACAATATTTTATGGCATTACACTGAAAATTTTTCTGAAAGTGACAATGAACGATAGAAAGTGCCATGTCTACACAGGACCTTTCATGCCATTCACTACTGAACCGGGGCTGGCTACAAGTAATCACCTAGTCTAACTTTTAAGTCTGGGCAAGGAGATATGAGAAGGAAGGAACTGGAAACAGTTCAGATTGACAAAAGCCAATAACTGCTACCGATAAGTTTTCCTGGCTAAGCCATTATGACTGAGAAGGCCATATGTGGACTGTAGTCTACAGAATAGGAAGGGGAAAGACAGCTGTCCCAAAACTTCCAGCTTCCAGAGATGCTAAGTGTGTAAGAAACCTTCCCTTGGTGTGGCTTACACAATTTCACTGCATTCTTCATTGTACTGAGCAGCTTGAAGACATTGCTAGGAATTCCTTATCTTCAGGAGGCATGTTTCTTTCCACTACCAAGAGAAGGTGTGGTAGCACATACTTTTAAGTCCAGGACTCCAGAAGCAGAGGCAGGCGGATCTCTGTGAGTTCAAGGCCAGCCTGGTCTACAGAGTGAATTTCAGGGCAGCCAAGGCTCCACAGGGAAAACCTATCTCGAAACAGCCCCCCCCCCAAAAAAATAAGAGAGAAGGTCTTTATTTACCAAACCTCTCACTGAGATAAAACAGCATAAAGATTACAGCCTATTTATGAGGAAAAAAAAAAAAAGCACGGGGTGGGTGAATTTACATTTCCATGGATTCCAATTCAATTCACTTCCCACTTCTCCCGCCCCCCCCCCCCCGCGCGCTCATCTATGAGCAAGTGAAGTGTCCAGGGCTGGAGGCATATCTCCTGGTAAAGCTTGTGACATACATACACACACGAGATAAAAAAAAGGTGTGGGTAAGGCAAACAGAGGCAGCGCTGCTTCCATTACCCACTGCCTTTTCAATGCTCGCCCTATGTCTTTCTGCATCCTCCTGTCTGCAGCGTCTGTATCCTGCATTCGCGTACCTTTGACACATCCAGTTCGCCGCTCTCACCCTGTCTGCCTCGGTTCACCGCTGCATCACCACCCACACACTCCCTGCCTGCCCCACCCTCACGCCCAGCCGGACCCAGCCCCTAACTCACCTGGTCCTCGCCCCGCACTCGTGGCCGGCCCTCGGGAAGCCCACTTCCTTCGTCGTCGCCGCAGGGGTCTTCCAGCCCCTCGTATCCCAGGACGTGAGGACAGCCGCGGAAGGCGAAGTCTTCGAGCTCGCGCAGGAGACGCTGCTGCTCGGCCGGCGCCCCGCGCACTACCTGGCGCAGGCGGAACTGCACCTGCGCGAAGTGCGAGGACAGCGCGAGCAGGGCCGAGTCCAGCTGCCGCCGTTCGGCTTGCAGTCGCCTCAGCGTGCGGACGGTCGCGTCGGGAGGAGAGCCCGCAGCCGCTCCAGGCTCCTCGGCTGCCGCCTCCTCCGAGAACGCCGCCGCCCCAGGCCCGGCCTCGGCCACAGCCCCCACTGGGGCCCAGCGCACGGCCTCACAAGGTGGCAGCGACTCCTCCTCGTCTTCCTCTTCTTCGTCCTTCGCCTTTGGCCCGAAGGCCGTCACTACAGTGGCCAGCTCCGTAGCCACTTCCACGGCCGCCATCTTCCCGGAAACGCCGTCGCACGTCAGTCGCGCCCCCTTGCTGCCATGACAACGGGCGCTGGCAGAGAAGCCGGGAGGAGAGGTGGGCGGGGCCTGTGTGCCTCCAGTCTCCCGAGGGCCCGCCCCCTCCCCTTGAGACTGCTTTAGTGCCTACTGAGAATTAGACCCGCGAGTACTTTGCGTTGGAGGAACAAATGAACGAGGACGAGGACAAGTAATTTCCAGCCTATAGTGCCTAGGGTAGCCCTTTTCCTGCTCATAGAGGGTGAATGTATTCCTGATCCATATATTTTTGGAAACCCCGAGAGGTGAAAGGGTGCAGTAAACGCTCCCAGAGTCACTCTGGAGCGCAGATCACTTTTGCTGTCAAGCCACCTTCCCCTTCCTTACCCCTACCATATAAGGAGAGGCAGCTGGCACGGGCGTCCCTAGGATCTAAAGATAGAGGCCCTTGTCTGGGACTCCAAAAGCCACAGGGCAGCTGGAGCCACCATGGAACGGTGAGTTTCAGACCACCATGGTACAAATCCTACTCCCTTGTCCTTCTCCCTGCAGATTCCCTGCCCCACATCTTGTAGAAGCTGCTGATTCTGCCCATATCCTTCGGTGCCCCGGACTCCCGGTCTCTGTGACTGTGGGGGAGAGGGCTGGTGTGAACTGAGTGTACCCTCCTTACTTCCCTTGTCTTTCCGGGTTCATTCTCACCGCTGTCACCCACTCCACCCACTCCCCTCCATCGGCTTCAGAGGCAACACTGTATAGTCTCCTCCCTCCGCCTCTCCTTTTTGCCTTCGGTCTTGCCCACCCCTACCAAGCCCCACCTCCACCCTCTTTAGGCAGCACGCCCGGACACTGTGGTACGACAGACCCAAATATGTTTTCATGGAGTTTTGTGTTGAGGACAGCACCGACGTGAGTGTGCTCATTGAGGATCACCGCATTGTGTTCAGGTAGTGGCCTTCCCCTCTGGGCGGGCCTGGTGTCTCAAGAACTGTCCCTTCCTATGCCTCGGCCTTACTGTCTCTTTAGCTGCAGGAATGGTGATGGAGTGGAACTGTGCAACGAGATTGAGTTCTATGCCAAGGTGAACTCCAAGGTGAGGACAGGGTAAGGATAGTCAGGTCTGAGCAGAAAGGCTGGCCGAGCAAGGAAACTGGGGGTTTATCCTAAAACCATGTCTAAGACTGAAGCTGTCTATTTGACAGGATTCCCAGGATAAGCGCTCTGGTCGCTCTATTACTTGCTTTGTGAGGAAATGGAAGGAGAAGGTGGCCTGGCCACGGCTCACCAAGGAGGATATCAAGGTGAGTGTGTGGGGAGAGGTCTACTTCATGTGTGCTCTATGCTCTATCCCTGCGCTCTCTCAGAGTACCCAGGCACCAGAGTTGCATCTGAGTTAAGGTTTGCCTTTCTTCTAATCAGTATTCAGTGATTCACCTGGGTCTTAAATAGTCTGAGATTTATATATTTCCTCCTCGTCTGGACTGCATCCATCAGGGTTCATCGGGGGAAGTTTTGTTTTGTTTGTTTGTTGTTTGATTTTGTTTTTTGTTTGTGTTTATTTGCTGTAGATTTTGAGGCAGGCTTTTTCTATGTAGCTCAGGTTGGCCTTGAACTTGCCATCCTTCTGTCTCATAATCTCGAATATTGACTTTACAGGTATGGACTCCTATGCCTGACTTTGTTGGGAGTTTGCTGCATATTTTCTGTCCTGTCTCTAATCCACCCTTCCCAGTGTGGTCTGTTAAACATGCGCTGACTGTCACTTTCACACTTGAAAGTCTTTGAAAGCTACTTCTCTTCTAAAAGCTGAAAGTTGGCCACCTACTGGCTGAATCTGACTTTTACATGCATTTTAGTAGTTTCTTCACAGCTAAAAAAAAAAGAAAAGAAAAGAAAAAGAAAATTATTTCCAGTTTGGTGGTGGCCTTTACTCCCAGCACTCAGGAGGCAGAGGCAAGCGGGTCTTTGTAAGTTTGAGGTCAGCCTGGTCTACAGAGTGAGTTCGAGGATAGCCAGAGCTACAAAGAGAAACCCTGTCTCGAAACAACAACAAAAATATTTTGAGGGTCTGGATAGGTGGCTTAGTGGTTAAGAGCACTGGTTGCTCTTACAGAGAACCTGAGTTCAATTTGCAGCTCCTCCATGGTGGCTCACAACCACCTATAACCCCGGTTCCAGGGGAGCCAACTCCTCCGTCTGACTTCCATGGGCATGTGGGACACATACATACAAGCAAACAAAGCATTCACACTCATAAAATTAAAAAAAAAATACATCTTAAAATAGATTTTGACTGGCTACTGACATTCACAGTTTTTTCTTTTTTGCTGACATTAAAAAAATGTACATTATGGCTGCCAGTGAGATGGCTCAGTAGATAAAGGTGCTTGCTGCCAAGCCTGAAGACCTCTGATCTGAGTTGAAGGCCCAGATTCCACATGGCGGAAGGAGGGACCCAACCCCCATAAGTGTGACATCCATTTGTCTGTAGTTACATGCCCCTCCCCATAAATAAATACATAAATGTGATTTTAGCATTTTTCTTGTAAATCATGGGACTGGAGAGATGGTTCAGCGTTTAAGCTACTTGTCCAAAGGATCCAGGTTCAGTTTCCAGTTAATGATAGCTCAGAGTAGAATTGTCTGTAACTCCAGTTTCAGAGAGCCAATGCCCTTTTCTGACCTCCATGGGCACCAGGCAGGAACTTGGTGCACAGATACAAGGGCAGACAAAATATTGCTGAGTGTAGTGCCACATGCCTTTAATCCCTACATGAGGAGGAGGCCTCGACAGGTGGATCTCTGTGAGTTTGAGATCACCCTGGTTTACAAAACAGTTCTAGGCTTAGAACACAAACACAAACAAAACAACACCCCCCATCTTTTAAATGAATATATATGCATGTATGTATATATGTATGTATGTATATATATATACATACATACATACATTTATTTATTTATTTTTCTTTTGTTTTGAGTCAGGGACTCATGTAATTTTATCTTGCTGTCATATAGCTGAGGATGATCTTGAACCCCTGGTTCTCTAGGCTTCACCTAAAAGTGTTATATGATAGGCTGTAGTATTACACCTGGCTTCAAATGTGGGCACTTCGGGATATGGTCCTAGCCATTTGTAGTCAGGATTTTCTTTGGGCCACTAGCTCTCAAATAATGGCATGGAGACTTATTATTAAATAGAAAGCTCAGCCTTGGTTCGGGCTTGTCCCACTAGCTTTTATAACTTAAACTAACCCATTTATTTTCATCTATGTTCCCTCACTTCTCTATACTGCCCAAGCACTTCTTCCACAGCTGACTTCCCAGAGTTCTCTCTCTGCTCTGAAGTCCCGCTTGTACCTCCTGTTAACTATAGGTTGTTCAGCTTTTTACTGTATCAATCGCAGCCATACATTTTACAGGGTATACAAGTATCCCACAACAAAGGGTTGCCTCTGACTCTAAGGGAATGCAGCTTGTCTGTCTTGCTTGGTTGAGTCCTAAGATGCTTTAAGTTGAGTTCCCTGTCCACACCAGCCCTTGGAGGATAGAACTCTGCGCTTTTTCAGACCTTGCTGTTCTTGGCATTGTGTTTGGCACTGAGTAGATGCTGGTGAACATTTGTAGATGCAGCTTGGAGGGCAGGTTGGCCAAAAGGGGTGCATGTGGGAACACTGTACTATACTGACCTCTCCCTCTGAGGCCTCCGACTATGCACATGCCCCTACTTTTTCCCTGTGCTCTTATTTCTGTCCTTCCTGCCTGTGACACCTGCGCTTCCTTTTGCAGCCCGTGTGGCTCTCTGTGGACTTTGATAACTGGAGAGACTGGGAAGGAGATGACGAAGTGGAACTGGCTCAGGTGGAGCATTATGCCGAGGTATGAGACACAGCATCCCCACGCCCACCTCTGTAGTTCTCTGTCATCAAGGCCAGGCAGGGGTATTGAAACTCCCTACGCAGGCTGCTCACTAGCTGCTGATATGCTGTATATGCCACTCTTTGTTTATTTAGCAGAAATGAAATTAGTATTAGTGAAATTCAAAACAGAAAAATTCAAGATTTATTATTTTATTTTTGAGACAGAGTCTTAACCATGTATCTCTGGGTGGCTTGGAACTTGCTATAGAGACTAGGCTGACCTGAAACTCACAGCTATCCACTTGCCTCTGCCTTCCTAGTACTGGGATTAAAGGTGTGTTCCACAGTGCCCACTGTTGTTATTTTTATTTTTGTGCGTGCATGTGTGTTGGATCCCTTGGAGCTAAAGTTACAGATGGTTGTGAATTGTCTGATGTGGGTGTTGGGAACAAAATTTGAATCCTCTAGAAGAGAAGCAGATACTCTTAGCTGCTGAGCCATCTTTAAAAAAGGCAATACATTTTATTTATTTATTTGGGAGGGACAGATACACACATGTCACAGAACCCATGTGGAGATTAGAAGACAACTTGTGGGTGTCTATTTTCTGTTTCTAACATGTGGGTCCCAGGAATTGAATTCATGTAATCAGGCTTACCAGACCATATTAGTAAAATTTCACACAGCTTCACTTACTATTTGCAAGTAGTGCCTACATTCTGTGAAAATGTTTTTGGTTGTGAGCCAAGCACTTAAGGACTGAGTCATCTCTCTGTTAAAATGTTAAAATATAACAAACCTCTTCCCACACTCTATAATATCCCCCCTCCCTGTGTGTGTCCTGTGTGTGTTTGTTTATTTATTATGTACACAGTGTTCTGTCTGCATGTATCCCTGCAGGCCAGAGAGGGCACCAGATCTCATTACAGATGGTTGTGAGCCACCACATGGTTGCTGGGAATTGAACTAAGGACCTCTGGAAGAGCAGCCAGTGCTCTTAACTTAGCCTGTGAGCAATCTTTGAAGATCTCTGAAATAAACTTTTAAGAAAAGATTTTAAGAAAAAAAAAAGGATCAGTTAACTTCTCTCCAACTAATGGGTAGGTCTGTGGCCATTCTCTCGTCACTAATATCCAGATTTCTCTTCCCTCACCCCTCACCCCCCCTCTCTCTGTGTGTGTGTGTGTGTGTGTGTGTGTGGTTTTGGAGGCTGTCCTAGAACTAGCTCTTATAGACCAGGCTGGTCTTGAACTCACAGAGATCTACCTGCCTCTGCCTCCCAAGTGCTGGGATTAAAGTCGTGTGCCACCACTGCCGCGCTCGCCCCTAATCTCTTGTGACTGTTTTTCTCTTCCCATTAGCTTTTGAACAAGGTCAGCACTAAGAGACCTCCCCCTGCCATGGATGATCTGGATGTAAGTAACACCTTCCTTTCAGCCTTTACAGATAGCATGTTAGAGCTGAAGACAGCTCAGTGGAAGAGTGCTTTCCCACCACGCATGAGGTCCATCCTCCAAAAAGGGTTAGTAGAACAAAACCACAAACATGTAGGAATGTGTATTCCATTCTCTAGCACACGTACACAGTAGTTCTCTGCATGTTAACTAAGTCTGAGCATTCTTTAAGCCTCCCGCTTCCTCCTCTCCATCCCAGAACAAACCTGGCAGGAGCAGTAACACCACTAAAAATTCTCGGTGGTTCAGCTTATTACCCAAAGTCAGAAACTTTGATCTTAGCTTCCTAAGATGTGCGACTTAGGATTTTAGGAGAGCAGGGTTGGGGGGATGGAGTGGGTGAGCAGCATCACTGAAGTTCACCTTAGAAATGACAGGTACTTTGTCTTCTCCTTTCAGGATGAGTCTGACAGTGCGGATGCAACAGCTAATTAGCCCTCTGTGGCAGCAGAGCTGGGGAGGAGCCTGTAGCTGCCTCCTGTCCCGCTGAAAAGCTGTGATGGGCCTTCATTGACTATTTTGTTATGAATCAGGACCCACTGAAACCTCTGACCTTTTGCAGAAGCTTTCTTTCTTCCTTTTTTCTTTTTTGGTGTTTCAAGACAGAACCTCAGTATGTAGCCCTGGCTGTTCCTGGAACTCCATCTGTAGAGCAGGCTGTCCTTGGAATTCACAGAGGTCCACCTGTCCTTACTTCCCAAATGCTGGGATTAAAGGCGTGCACCGCCGCCACCACCACCACCACCACTGCCTGGCCAGAATCTCTTCTTGCTGGTCTCTCCAGTGTGGTCCTCCTGCATCAGAGGGACTGTCTGCTGGGGCTTCTGACTTACATAAAATAATCTGTGCTTGGGATGCTGGTTTTTTTTTTTTTTTTAGACACATGTTTACATGTGGTAAAGAAAAGGCCAAAGAAGAAAGAGATTACAATAAATTCTAGGAGCAATGCCATTGCACTCTTCCCTGCCCTGGGAAGCTGCTTTCTCCAGAGATTCTGGCCCCTTTGCAGTGGGAAACTGTTGCCGGGCAGGCAGGCTCATATTCAAGCCAGGGGATTTCATCCCACGAAGGTAGATCCCTGTCACCCCTAGGCCCTTAACTTCCTGCGCATCTCTGTGGTTAAGACTGCATAGTGTATTTTTCAGAGACTAGGAGTCTGCTTCTCAGCACCCATAGCATGTGGCTCACACCTACCTGTAACTTGGTACACGTATACATAAATAAAAGTAAAACACTTTTTAAAATACAAATGATCATAAATCATAGATTTCTGAGGTATGTGGTTCAAATTTCTCCCCTATAGTTAAAAAGAAGTTACATGATGAAATATTATGGATGTTGGTTTATTTATTATTTATTCTTGGTTTTCCAAGACAGGGTTTCTCTGTGTAGCTTTGGAGCCTGCCTTGGAACTCTCTCTGTAGACCAGGCTGGCCTCGAACTCACAGAGTTCCCTAGTGCTGGGATTAAAGCCGTGGGCCACCACTGCCTGGCTGGATGTTGGTTTTAAATAAAATATTAACATACATTCCTTGGCTGTTTCTGTCCTACCCCTCTAATTTCCACTTCTTTAGTCCAAATTACATGGCCCCAAGAGCTAGCTGAAGAAAGTTCAGATCTAATTGTTGTAAGCATCTGAGCTGGATGCTCAGAAGGGATGGACAGGGATTCTGGCATTTGGGAGCCAAGGAATATGCCACAGCATAGCAGCTTACATCCCTGCTTCAGGGAAAGGCTTCCCCAGTGTATCAGCTTTGCTCTGGCAGGAGAGGGTTTCCCCAGCAAAGTTGGGACAGTTCAGCTCCAGCCCTCCAGCCAGTGGAGTGTAACAACTTCACTTTGCCAAAGGGAAGGTTTCCCTGGTAAAAAGTATTACAGCCCTGCTCCACTCTGCTCAGGGTCAGCTCTGCATCGCTCCTGTAAAAGAAGGTCTCGCCCGAACCTCATTCAAGAGATTTATTGGGAGGGAAGAATCTAGGAGGGCAGCAACCTGAACAGACACAGGGTTTATGTAGGGATTCTTAGGGGCTGGCTAGATCTGGTGCTCAGGGATTGGTTGGTTGGTTTTTTGCACAGGTTTCGGGCCAGGTTTGGCTCTGATTTCAGGGCCAAAGTTTGTTTCTTTCACTGATCCTTTTTAGCCTTTTGGCTCTAATTTTACGGCCAGGGTGTATTTCTTTCGCTGGCTCTGATCCCAGGGACAAAGTGTGTTTCTTTGGCACTGGTTTCAGGGTCAGGGTGCATTGCTTTGGTTCTGGTTGCAGGGCCAAAGTGTGTTTCTTTGGTTAGTTCTTTTCCCTTACAATTGTGAATTTCGTCTTGTGGTCTCTCAGTCTTAATACGGCGACAAAACAACACAACACCTGCAGTTATCAGTTTCAGTGTTTCCGTAAATTCGGTCAAACCCCGCCCCGTCCTTTACGTTTTCACGTTTGCGCAGAAACGCTTGAGAAAGTTTGTCCCAGGTCGCTCTCCGTCCCCTGCCCGGCGTTTCTGAGCCTGGAGTCTCCTGGGCCTAGGAGATAGCAATGGCGTTCCTGTGTCAACGGGACAGCTACGCACGGGAGGTGCGGGCTGGTGGGCTAGGGTCCTGAGACCAAGGGTTCCACTGGGAGGGAGGGCGAGGGCAGGCTGCAATCTCGGCGTAAGAAGGCTCACACTCACGTCCCTCTCTCTGCCCAGTTCACCACCACCGTGGTCTCCTGCAGCCCCGCCGAGCTGCACACGGACGCGAGCGGCGGCAAGAAAGAAGTACTGAGCGGTTTCCATGTGGTTCTGGAAGACACGCTGCTTTTCCCCGAGGGCGGGGGCCAGGTACCAGGAGCAGCCTCAGCCCGACCCCCTCCCAGGGACCCCCACACTCCTGTTAGCTCCTGCAGAAAGTGCGTTCGCTCTTTCTTAGCCTCAATAAAGCAGACGGGTTTGTCAGTCCATTGCATTCATTCAGCAAATGCTTATGTAGTTGTGACACGCAGTGTGTCACATTCCAGGCGCTGAAGATAAAGGGTGAACAAGACAGTGCCTCTAAATACATGGAGCGCTTACTGCTGACAATTCGGTATGCCAGGTATAAGTAATAATAATGCCACTAGAAATAACGATGGACAAAGGGAAGAGTGGTGAACGCTCTCCTGCTACTCCGCACAGATGTCTGTGAAGAGAAGGGGTGAGCCACTGTAGCTATTTAGTGGTTCTGGGACAAGAGGAAGATTTCAGGCAGACAGAATAACTGTGCAGAGGCCCTGAGGTGGTAATGAGCACGAACCTTTTACAGGGACTGAGAAAGACGCTGCTGGGAGAGTTCAGAAGAGGACGATGGCCTTCAGAGCCTGCTGGAGAGCCTGGCTACGGGGTACAAAAAGGAGATAGTGATAGCCATAAGTGGGCATCGTAAGAGAGGTTTGACTAGCCAGGTTGGTAGCATAAGCAAGGGTAGTGAACCCTGACAGAATCAGCTAAATCTAAGTGTAAATAAAATAATGCAGTGGTGCTTGTGGATGCTAGATCTTGTGGTGGATGTTGAGAACAGGCTAGAGGTGACCCTGGAAAGTGAGTGAGTCTAGTCCGCAGGGTCTTGGAGGGTGTATAAGCAATATAGATGCCAGGAAACAAGTGAGCCATGCATGGACAATCTGGAGCAAAGAAGTGGGCCAAGAGAATTCAGGAGACCTGTGAAGGGGAAAACACCAGTTCTTTTAATCACATGGAGATGTCCTGAGCCGCTAAAGAAAAACCCTTGACCCTCAGGTGTCCATAGAGTCTCCTGCTCTTATTTCTATTCTCCTCTCTCTCTCTCTCTCTCTCTCTCTCTCTCTCTCTCCCTCTCTCTCTCTCTCTCTCTCTCTCTCTCCCTCCTCTCTCTCCCTCCTCTCTCTCTCTCTCCCTCCTCTCTCTCTCTCTCTCCCTCCTCTCTCTCTCTCTCTCTCTCTCTCATATGCATATATGCCTGGAAGCACAGCCAGTGCTCTTAACCTCTGAGCCATCTCTTCAGCCCTCTATTCTTATTATTCTTAAAACTACACTTATTCATTTTTTTTTAATTTATACATGTGTGTTTGTGGGTGTGTTGTGGGAGCTGGTTATCTCCTCCCACTCAGGTCCCAGGGATCAAATTCAGGTTTTCAGACTTGGTAGCAGTCTGGTAGCAGACTTGGTATCTTCAACCTCTGAGCCATCTTATCAGCTCTGGACCCTTCATATTATACCACTTCCTTCAGTTTTCCCAGATTCCCCAAAACGATTAGGTCTCTTCAGATTTAGTTTCTATATGTCTTTAGATCTGTAGGTCTTATTTCTATTAATTATTTGGTTGGCACAGTGCCTTGTAAGTGGCTGGCACTTGATACTTTTCTAAATGATGATTATTTTTTAATCTAATCTGGTATCAGTGTTGGGACCGAGTGGTTAAAGGCAGGAACACTCAGGTCACTTTAGAGACTATTAAAGATAGTCTGAGTGACAACAACGAGGATTAAGGATCTGTGGGTTTTACTAAGATCTTCAACACTGTACTTCTTTTTGTTTCAATTCCGCTATTCTGCCCTAAAGAACAACACACATACGTGTCCAAAAAGAGGACAGGAAACCCTGTCATAGAACAAAATGGGTCACCTCCCTTGACATTGTCCCCTCTTCCCCGAGGAAGTTCAGTGCCTGGGTCTGCCTCTCTGAGAGCTACCTCCTGTAGAGTCTTTGCATCTTGGTAGGGTGAGACCTGCCCTAGTGTTGATGACTTTTCTCCCCAGCCTGATGACCGTGGTACCATCAATGACATCTCTGTGCTGAGAGTGACCCGTCGTGGGGCCCAGGCTGATCATTTCACACAGACACCTCTGTCCCCTGGGAGCCAGGTCCAGGTCCGGGTGGACTGGGAGAGGAGATTTGATCACATGCAGCAACATTCAGGTAAGGCCACAAGATGGGGACATACAGGGAGATGTGCTGTGAATATCAGTGTCATAGTGGCGGAAGTGGGTTTCAATTCTGTAGGAGATGAATATGCTTAGAATCACCTTTGATTTAGGCAGTATACTACAGTAAGTATGAAAACAACATGAACATTAAAGTTCTAGAAAAACTACTGGCCTTTTTTTCCCTCCATTTTTGTTGTTTTGACTTTTGGGGTTTTTTTTGTTTGTTTGTTTGTTTGTTTGTTTTTGAGACAGGGTTTCTCTGTGTAACAGTTCTGGCTGTCCTGGGACTCCCTCTAGCCAAGCTAGTCTCCAACTCACAGAGATCTATCTGCCTGCCTCTGCCTCCCAAGCGCTGAGATTATAGGCATGTGCCACCACTGCCTGGCTTTCTCTGTTTTACAGATATTTTTATTTTTACTTATGGGGGGGTTATGCATGTGTCACATTATGCCTGTGGAGGTCAGAGGACAACTTGTGGGAATCTGTTCTCTCCTTCAACCTTATGGGCCCTGGGGGTTGATCTCAGATTGTCAGGCAACACCTTACTCATTGAGCCATCTCGCCAGCCCTTTCTTGGCTTCTTCTTGGGGGGGGGGGCAGGGTTTTACTAGGTAGCCTTGGTTAGCCGAAAACTCAATATGTAGATCCCGCTGACCGCTTAGCTCTCACAGTTACTGCCGGCTAGGAATGCTCCCACTACATGTCTCTATCTGGACGTCTTGAGGGCTTTCAGATTTATAATGTCCAAATGAAATGGAAGGTGATCGTCTTCCACTTGGGCTCTTTGGAAATAGTGAGCCAGTCACTCAGTGTTGATTTATTCTCAGTTATCTTTCTCCTTCCATCCACCACAGTCATCGTGGTCGCAGCCGTCCCCAGCCACCCTGTGGACCTCTCATCCAGTCTTGCTCCTCGCCTCTCTGTCTCTTGCAAGCCCAGATAGCCTTCCTTTCCTACCATTAAGGATTAAATCCAGGGCCTCATGCCATAGAGCAATCGTTTATTTTCTTGCTGTGCTGCAGATTGAACCCAGAGCCCTGCTTGTGCCAGCCACACCCTCTGTCACAGAGGTAAATCCAAGCTTCAGAGCAGTCCCTTAAAAAAAAAAAGAGAGTCAGATCATCTCACTCCCTTGCTCTTAAGAATCTTCCAGTTGTTCTGTGTGGAAAGCCATTCTCCTCACCAGGGCCTACAGCCCTAGTGGCACTGCTCGTGGATGCCCCAGCTTCACCGGGACCTCACCACAGCTTGCTGCCTGCACCCCCCACCGCACCTCCCCTTTTGAACCTGTCTCTGGCACAGACCCTGCCTCCTTCCTCCTCAAGGCTTTGACTGTTTGTTCCTTATGTGTCCCGGTTAATTCTTCCTCCTCTTTTTCTTACCGTCTTCTCCCTTCTCATCAGTCAGGAGTACAGCTGCATCTCTGACACCCCGCCCTGCATTCTGCATGTGGCAGGTGTTCAGTAAGCATTTGTCAGGAGGATGAATGACACACAGCAGAGCTTCAGCTCAGATCCCGCCTTGGCCAGTTGTTGTGAAATAGCATTGTGACGCTGCCAGGAGAATTCTCATGGTGATCTCCCTCCACCTCTCCTTTTCAAGGCTAGAACTTGACTTAAGGCCTTACACTTGCTAGGCAAGCACTCTACCACTGAGCTAGACCCCCCAGCCTCTGTCAATGTTCTCAGTAATGTATCTAAAATGCCTGGCAGGCCTTCAGTGAAAATCTCTGAGATTATGTTGTCATGGAGACATGTGGCTGGGCTTCTCAATTTGCTCCTGTCTCTTGCTCTCGCTTAGGGCAACATCTCATCACCGCAGTAGCTGACCATCTCTTCGGGCTGAAGACAACATCATGGTGAGTAGAGGGCACACCTAGGATGTGATAGGTCCCTGATTCCCACTTCTGTTCCCAGTGATGGGTTAGGGTAGGAAATAAAAGGGAGTTGTCTCTCTTTCCTTCTTGAAGACTGGGTCATCGCAAGACCTTGTCTTTTTCTGTTTGTTTGTTTTGTTTTTTGGTTTTTCCAGATAGGGTTTCTTCTCTGTGTAGCTTTGGAGCCTCTCCTGGCACTGGCTTTGTAGACCAGGCTGACCTTTCCCAGCAACCACGTTGGCTCACAACCATCCATAATGAGATCTGGTGCCCTCTTATGGCCTGCAGGTAGACTGCAGGCAGAACACTGTATACATAATAAATAAATTAATTAATTAATTAAAAAAAAAAGTGAGAGCAGGGACATCTGCCTTGGCTTGTTAAAGAACAGAGTTTAGATCCCAGAGCGAAAGTATGGTACTGCCACTGCATGCCTTTGGTCATGTAACTCACGGTGCTACATTTGTAAAATGGGAATGGCATTCCCTATCTAGGATTTTTTTTTTTAGGGTGTGTGTGTGGATTCAATAACGAAGTTATTTATATGGATTATGTTTCCTTTTTCTTTCTTTCTTTTTTTTTTTTTTCCCCCAGGTTGGGGGTGGTTTTGAGACAGGGATTCTCTACGTAGCTTTGGAGCCTGTTCTGGAACTAGCTCTGTAGACCAGGCTGGCCTCGAACTCATAGAGATCCGCCTCCTCTGCCTCCTGAGTGCTGGACATTTGTTTCTCTTTTAAGATATTGTCTTTCTGTCTAGCCCTGACTGGCTGTGTAGTTTGAGGTTGGCCTGGAATTCACACCAGTTAGGGTTAAAGGCATGGCTCCACCCGGCTGTTATAGGTGTATTGGAAGGCGAACTTAGAGTCCAGTCCTCCTCTGTCATCTCCCAAGCACTGGGATTATGGGGAAGCACCTCCAGGCTCAGTGTGAACATTCCTCATGAACTTCCAGCTCAGTGTGAACATTCATCATGAACTTCCAGCTCAGTGTGAACATTCCTCATGAACTTTCACTGCGCTGCTTTTTCTGGCAGGGAGTTAGGGAGACTCCGGAGTGTGATTGAGTTGGACAGCCCTTCTGTGACTGCAGAGCAGGTAGCAGCCATTGAACAAAGCGTCAATCAGAAAATCAGAGACCGACTACCTGTGAGCGTTCAAGAGCTGAGCCTGGATGACCCTGAGGTGGAGCAGGTAAGAGGACAGCCAGGCACCATTTCCGAGGAGCGGCTCTTCAAGGGCCCCTCATGAAATTTCAGACAGTCCTGTTCCCTCCCCTCTGTTCCAGGTGAGGGGCCGGGGTCTGCCAGATGATCATGCTGGGCCCATTAGAGTTGTTACCATTGAGGGTGTTGATTCTAACATGTGCTGCGGGACCCACGTGAGCAATCTCAGCGACCTTCAGGTAAGTGAGGATGGGCTGTGGCGTGTGTGAGGGCAGGTTACTGGCGAGCGGGATTGGGAGTGGCAAGTGAGTCTCAAGTCCTTGCTTCAGAGCCAAAGAGGGGTGTCTAATCTCTGGCCTTCATGTCCTGTGTATGTTACTCCTTTTGTGTAGGTCATTAAGATTCTGGGCACTGAGAAAGGGAAAAAGAACAAAAGCAACCTGATTTTTCTGGCTGGGAACCGGGTACTGAAGTGGATGGAACGAAGTCATGGGAGTGAAAAAGCCCTGACCACACTGCTTAAGTATGCCCCGCCCCTCCCCTGCTCCTTAGCAGTCTCACCTGCAAGGTAGACGGAATAATCTACTCTGGACAGTAGTTCACGCACAACAGAATGGTTTATTCCTCAGTGTCCTTCCTCCCAGTCGCTGAAGGGACCTTTGAATGTTCCTGTCTTGAGGGAGGCACCCCAGCAAGGAGGGTTCATTGACTTATGTCCTCTCAGTTCTGGAAGCACCTGGGCAGTTGGCCAGTCTCCGTTAACCGCTGTCTTATAGGTGTGGCGTGGAGGATCACGTGGAAGCGGTGAAAAAGCTCCAGAACGCCACCAAGCTCCTGCAGAAGGTGATTCTGTGGGGGTGGGGAGGGCTTGGGCTCTGCCAGGGCTGACGTGTGTGTGGATGGTCAGGGGGGGTTTGAGGGCCCACGGGAGGAGGTAATGGTACCCTCTGTTACCTTCCCCACCTGTCTGAGTTCTCACATCCATTGCAGAACAACCTGAGTCTCCTCAGAGACCTGGCTGTGCACACAGCCCACAGCCTCAGGAGCAGCCCAGACTGGGGAGGTGTGGTTACCCTCCACAGGTGAGAAGTTAGGGGCTGGAGGGAAGGCCAAGGGCTGAGAGGGCCAGGGCTCAGCCTCTCCCAAGAATGCAGTGCACAGGGGGATGTGGGTTGCTAAGTGGTCACTAGGCTGAGTAGACCACAGGAGGTGTGTCCCTGGACTTGCTGGAACGCCTTCACTGTAACTATGTAGCCTTCATTAGCTCATTTACTGGCCGACTAGCCTTCATTAGCTCATTTACTGGCCGCCCTCACCATCTAACAGATCTCCCAGTAGTTTGGGGATCCTTTGCTTGTGAATGAACTACCAAGACCGAGGGGGTCTTCTCTGTCCTGAGGGATCTGGGACTCTGTCTGTATGCTCATATAGGAAGCAATAGATCCGCCTGTTGTTGGCCTGCCTCAAGAGGAGGAGCCAGGCCTCCTGCAGGGTCACGGCCCCGCCTCACCCTGGGTCTCATCTGTGTCCTTTATAGGAAAGAGGGCGATTCAGAGTTCATGAATATCATCGCCAATGAGATTGGGTCAGAGGTAAGAGAGGCAGAGGCCCGGGAAGAATGACTGAGGGAGGTAGCTCAGCCAGAGTCCCCTCATGTTAACGCACTAAAGAGCTGAAAAAAGTTCACCCAGATTAGTTTTCCTAGCACTTGCCACGATCCAAGCTCTGTTGTTACAGAAGCTCGAAAGCCACCTAGATTGTGTGCTGAGAGAATATTGGGGTCCAAGACCCCCCGGAGGCGTCTGCTTCAGGGTTCACTTGCCTCTCTTCATCCTAGTAGTCTAGCATAGGAGATTGCCGGGTCTCTTATGCCCTTATTTTAACCCTTTATGGAATACCTCCCTGGGGCTCAAGCCTCAGGTCTCTGTTATTGTGCTCTCTACACAACACTGATGGTCACGGATCCCGTGTTCTAGCCTGAGAGACATGTGTAATGTCAGTCAGCACTTGTAATTTGGAGTGGTAAATACTAGAGGCAGAACCCATTACCTAAAGGGTAAAGAGGCTTCAGGGCCAGGCAACGAAGCCTACTTAGAGGTACTTGAGAGGTGGTCTGGTTCGGCAAAGATGGGAAAGGGTGACAATGAGATCATGAAAGGTAGCTTCTGCTCAGTACATCAGCACAGTCGGCAGCCTCCTGCCTCCTCTTAGTGTTTAAGCTCCTGGTCCTTCTCATAAAGCTTGGAGGCCCAGGATGCCAGAGTGGAAGGCTGTGCCATCAGCCGTCAGTGACATCTCTGGTTTAGAGGAAGTTACCTGTTTGACTCAGGAGAGTGTGGGGCTTAGGGGAGTTGACTCCGTGTGTGCTCATCTGTCTCCTTGTCTCACCTCCTAGGAGACCCTCCTGTTCTTAACTGTGGGGGAAGAGAAAGGTGCTGGGCTCTTCTTACTGACGGGGCCAGCAGAGGCCGTGGAGACCCTGGGGCCCAGGTAATGCGATATGGGTTCCTGTGCGGTGGGGAAGCTGTATACTTGTGACATACTGATGCAGCCCTGTGCTAGTTAGCAGGGGGTCACATGTGTGACCTTGGTTCACAGAGGAATGTGAGGCAGGATGAGCAGGTGTGGTCTGACACCCGTACTCCTAGTCTGACAGATTAGGGACCATACATCATGCACTTGAGGTCTCATAGTTAAAGAATGAGATTCAAGTACAGGGATTTTGTTTGTTTTAAAGAAAATTTTGATTCCTAGGGCTAGGTGTTATGTGACAGATGTCTCCTCACCCCAGATTGGAGTCCAACAACAGACCAAAGTAGGGACACCACCCAAGTCTGACTTGGTGAACAATGAGTTTTATTGGGGTTTCTTACAGGAATATGGGTGAGGGGTTATTTACAAGAGAAAAATGACTCAAAGACAGCCATGTCACCAGAGCCCACCCCAGCATGAGTGTCACAAAGCTGCCTGACTCTGCCTCCTGAACTCTGGGATTAAAGGCATGCGTTACAATGCCTGGTTTATTTTCTTGTTTTAAATTGACTCCTGTTCTTTTGTGCATTAGAGTTTTCAGTTATTATTGGTTCTCTGGAATATGTGTTCCTTGGAAACATTGAAGGAAAATATAATTATTTATAATGGAGATTCCGAACAGGCAGCCACATCTGGCCTGGAGTCTGGTTTGGCTTTTCCTTCCTTCCCTCCCTCCTTCTGTCCCTCCCTCCCTCCCTCCTTCTGTCCCTCCCTCCCCCCTTTTCTTTTTCTTCCTACAGCCCTGGCTAGTTTCTAAATCCTGATCCTCCTGTCTCCACTTCCCAAGTACACATGTATCTTTTTGTTGTTGTTTTTCTTGTTTGTTTGTTTGTTTGTTTGTTTTTGGTTTTTTTTTTTTTTTTTTTTTTTTTTTTTTTGATAGTCTCCAAAGCTGGCCACTAGAAGCTGAAGAAAGCAATGAAATGAATTCTTCCCTTGAGCCTTCAGATAAGACCACAATCCTGTAGCCATCTCAATTTTGGTCCAGTGAGGCCAATTCTAGACTCCAGGACTGCAAATTAATAAATATGTATTTTTCTAAGTCTCTAGGTTTATAGTAATTTGTTGTATCCATGATAGGAAATGAATATACCCCCTATCTAATAGTTCCTCTGCCACCTTCAGCCTCTAGCAGAGAGACATTTGTTTCAGATGATGGTTTATGGAAGCCAGAGGGTGGGAGGTTAGTGGAGGGCTGGCCCTACCATAAGGCTACCAGGGGCTGCTCATATTTGCTGCAAAGAGTCTCACACTTGTAGCAGTGTCTGGTTCCTCGAAATCTCCTTCCTGTAGACCCTGAGGTCTGCCCTTGGGTTTTGACTTTCCACAAACCATCTCCTTAACTATTTCTCCGTTCTCTAGGGTGGCTGAAGTCTTAGAAGGCAAAGGAGCAGGGAAGAAAGGCCGCTTCCAGGGCAAGGCCACCAGGATGAGCCGACGGGCAGAGGTGCAGGCACTTCTGCAGGACTATATCGGCACACAGAGTGCTGAGGAGTGAGGGCCAGGATGCGCGTCCCTGTGCCCACAGCAGTCTCGGACAGTAAATTGGCGTGACTCAAAATGTTTGTGTGCCGTCTCTTATGGTCACATGCATAACTTGCACAGTGCATTCCAGTGTGCTTATGTGATTAACCCCTGTGTGACCAGTTCCAACTTGGCTCCTTCTAGGTGTGGGTAACCTCTGTGAGTAGACATTAAATTAGTGAAATGGACTGATTGAAGCTGAAAGCTTCTTGCTTATGGCTTAGCCTCATCCACATCTCCTTGCTTTATTTTGTGTCTGTTTTTTTGTTTTGTTTTGTTTTGTTTTTGAGATAGTCTTTTAATGTCACCCAGGTTGGCCTCCTCACAATCCTAAATGCTGAGATTATAAGCATAGGCTACCAGGCTTCAGACCTTGGTTTTTGTGTGTGTATGTGTGTATGCACACATGAGTATGGAGACAAGAGCATTTGTCCTCAAGCCACTGTCTACCTCATAATGTTTTCTTTGTTTGTTTGTTTATTTGTTTGTTATTACAAGAGCATCTCTACTGGCCTGGAACTCAGCCAGTAGGCTATGCTGGTCAGTGAGTCCCAAGGACCCTCCTGTCTTGGCCTCCGCAGCACTGGGATTTATAAGCACACACCATCACGCCTGCCTGACTTTTTTTTGTGTGTGTGTAACCTTGCCTGCCCTGGATCAAGTCAAGTCCTCAACTTTGTAACAACTGCTTTGTAAACTGAACTATTCCCCAGCCCTTCAGACTTCTTTGTGTTTCTGTGGGTGCAGGTATAAATGTGTGCTCTCTCTCTCTCTCTCTCTCTCTCTTTCTCTCTCTCTCTCTCTCTCTCTCTCTCTCTCTCTGTGTGTGTGTGTGTGTGTGTGTGTGTGTGTACAGGACAGAAAGCTCTCAGGCATCTCTGTCCCTTATGTTGTGCACAGTCTCATGTTTCTCCCAATCACTGTTTACTATAGGCTATCTGACCCTGTAGCTTCCAGGCTGTTCCCCTCCCTGCCTCCCATCTCATGAAGGATTGTTGAGATTACAGTTGCATGCTTCTGTGTCCTGCCTCTTTACAGGAAACAGCTTGTGTGAATCAATTCCCTGTACTGTGTGTATTCTAGGGATCGAACTCAGGTTCACAGTCTTCAAGCCTTTACCTACTGAGCCATCTTGCCAACCCCACATCCAGCTTTTTCAGTGGTGTTCAGGGATCTGAAATCAGATTATCAGGCTTGCACAGCAAGCACTTTCGCCTCCTGAGCCATCTCTCCAGCCCCATGGACATATCACAAGGGCACCAGTCACATGAGTGCTCTCCCCACCACATAATTGTACCCTAACGGCTGCAGCCTCCATACTGCCACTGGGGAGCTAGGATGAGGGTTTTCAGGGGACGCAGCACTGAGACCACAGGGGGTATAATAAGGCAGTGGTGGACCGGGCAGCCATCCTTCCTCAGCACTTCTCAGCTGGACTCTGTTCAGCTGAGCATGAGTGGCCAGATGCCCTATTCAGACTTGGACTCACTTCTGAACAAGTCACCTTGCTGGGCAACTCTGGACGTCTGGCTTACTGTTGAGGCACTCCCTGGCTTCCAGTTTCTTGACCTGAACTTGGGGACATGAGCACGCTGTCCTAAGAGAGAAGGAACTTTTTGAAATAACTCAATTAGGAAGCAGCATAAACAGTGGGGCAAACTCCATGAAACAGTAATTAGCTGTGAAAGCAGGATAAAGAAGCAGTTTGAACTGGCCACATCACTCAAGCCTGTCAAGAGAGTTCTTAATGCAATGTCTGGGGTCAAGAGCCGAGTGTGCTATCTGACCTGACGAGGTCCACCAGCAAGCACAGCAGAACAGGGTTATTTGTTAGAGAAGATTTTTAGAGGGGCCTGGCCCAGCAGTTAAGAGTGCTTGCTGCTTTTCTGGAGGTCCGGAGTTTGGTTCCCAGTACCCATATTGGGTAGCTCAAGTCACCTGTAACTTCAGCTCCAGTAGCTCCCATGCCCTTTTCTGGCCTCAGGCCTCATGTAGCATACACATATAAATAGACTTAAAGGGATTTTATTATGGGCTGGAGAGGTGGCTCCGTGGTTAAGAGCATTGGCTGCTCTTCTAGAGGACCCAAGTTCAATTCCCAGCACCCACATGGCGGCTCATAGTCCCAAGGGATCTAACTCCCTCTTCTGGCCTTTTTGGTCACCAGGCATAATTATACACAGCACATTCAGACAAAACACCCATACACCCATATAATTAAGCTCTCAAAAATTGTAAAGGGGGGCTGGAGAGAGGGCTCTGGTTAAGAGCACTGGCTACTCTTCCAGAGGATTCAGTTCCCAGCAACCACACTATAAATCCAGTTCCAGCGGGTCAGACACACACGCAGGCAAAACACCAATGCACATAAGAAATCATCACCCTTGGTCCTGGGTGAAAACCTATAAGTCAGCCATTCTATGCCAGAATGCCTGTTTTTTTTTGTTTTTGTTTTTTCCTGAATGAGAACTTAAATAAACTCTAGGGCGCTGTCTGGTGCTTACAGGAAAACAGAGCACGCCCTGATGAAAACCTGTGGGAGAAAGTGCCATTGTTTTCTACTCCTGAATCTGAGTCAACCATGGCTGAAGTGTCCTTAGCAGAGGGCAACCTCGGCAGTTGGAGACAGTGATGGAGGAGTTTCCTACTTCCTCTAGGAAAATGTGCCTCTGTGCTGTGTCAGCTGGCAGTATGCCTGGCTCCACACTCTGAGCAACAAGAGCAGGCCTTTCCAGACTATCCCGGGGCTGTGCTCAGAGCCAAAGAGGCTCTCATGAGGACAGCCTCCTGTCTGCCGAAGCCTTTCCTAAGGTCCTATGTGCAGCTGAGACCTCTTGGTAAAATTCCTTTTTTTTTTTTTTTTTTTTTTTTTTCTTAAAATGCCAGCCTCACACTGGCCATGCATTGTCTGAGGTCCTGACTCTCAAACACTTGAAGACCCCACCAACCCCAAATCTAAGTGGGGTAGATGGGGGAGGGCACTGGGTAGATGCTGGTCAAAGAGTAGAAATTTACAAAGCTGGTGTTCTGGCACAAGCCTGTAACCTCTACACTCACCAGAGTAAAGCTGGAGGGTTGCCTTGAGGTAGAGGCCACCTGGGCTATGTAAATAAGAAAAGGGTGTGTGTGTGTGGGGGGGGGGGGGGGGAGGGTGGCCGGGTCTGAGGAGGCAGCTCAGTCAGTTTGTGTGTGTGGGGGGGCAGGGGTGAGAGATCCTGCCTCAAAAAAATAAGTTGGTGAGGGCTGGAGAGATGGCTCAGAGGTTATGAGCTCTGACTGCTCTTCCAGAGGTCCTGAATTCAATCTCCAGCAACCACTCAGCAACTCACAACTATATATAATAGGACCTGATACCCATACATGCAGAGCACTCATACATAAAAATATAAATAAATTTAATTAAAAAATAAGTTGGTGGAGAGCAGTAGAGGAAGATGCCTGACATTAACCTTCAGCCTCCAACATATACAAGGGCATTCAACACACAAATGAACAGGTATACACACTTTTTTTTTTCTTTTTTGAGACAGGGTCTGTCTATGTCTCTACATAGCCTGGTTATCCTGGAGCTCATTTAGCTCAGGTTGACCTCAAATTCATCTGCCTCCCAAGTGCTTGGATTAATGATCTGAGCCACTATGTTCAGCAATATTTTTTAGGGTTGCAGAATAATTTAAGATCTCTGCAGTTGCTGGGTGGTGGTGGCCCACACCTTTAATCCCAGCACTTGGGAGGCAGAAGCAGGTAGATCTCTGTGAATTTGAGGCCAGCTTGGTCTACAGAGCTAGTTCTAGGACAGCCTACACAAAGAAACCCTATCTCAAAAAGATAAAAAAGCAAATCAAAACAAAAAACAAAAAAAAAAAATCTGGATTAAAAGTACATCTTCCCACTTCAAATTATGGGACTCGAGAGAGCACTAGCTGCTCTTCCAGAGGACCCAGGTTCAATTCCAGCACTCACATGGCAGCTCACAGTCATTCTAGGGGATCCGATACTCTCATACAGATATACGGGCAGGCCAAACAGCTATGCACATAAAAATAAATAAATCTGAAAAAAAAAAAAAAAAGAGCTCTATAGTCACCAGGTGGTGATGGTGGCGCACGCCTTTAATCCCAGCACTTGGGAGATGTGAGCCTGAGACCAGCCTGGTCTACAGAATGAGTTCCAGGACAGGACAGCCATTGCAGTTACACACACAGAGAGAGAGAGACCCTGTCTCTAAAAAAAAAAAAAAAAAAAAAAAAAAAAAAAATCTCTACAGTCTTTCATGGTAACTATACTTAAAAACAACTACCGTTCTTTATTTTTTTGGGGGGTGGGTGGGGTAGGAAGGTTCACTGGGGATCAGTCCCAGGCCATCACACTTGCTAGGCACTGAGCCACACTTTCAGCACTGCTGGATTCTTAAGATTTGTAAAGACAATAGATGGTGAATGCTGTGACCACTAAAATAATGATGCAAGCTGGGTCATACATACAGCAGCTCACTGAGCTATTCTACAGTGTACACACACTTCAGAATATCAAGTATGTGATAAATACATGCCACTTTTTGCTAATTAAAATAAATAAAGCTACTGGGCAGTGGTGGCACACGCCTTTAGTTCCAGCACTCAGGAGGCAGAGGCAGGCGGACCTCCATGAGTTCAAAACCAACCTGGTCTCCGGTCTAAGAGCTAGTTCCAGGACAGCCTCCAAAGCCACAGAGAAACCCTGTCTCAAAGAAAACCCGTAAATAAATAAATAAATAAATAAAGCAAGCCAGCCAGCCAATGGTGGCGCACGTCTTTAGTTCTAACACTTGGGAGGCAGAGGCAGATAGTCCCTGAGTTCCAGGACAGCCTATTCTCCAAAGCAAGTACCAGGACAGCCAGGGCTGCACAGAGAATCATTGTTTCCAAAGATTAAATAAATAAATAAATAAATAAATAAATAAGGCCAAGGAGTTTCAGAAACAACACTTCTGTGAACAAAAAAAAAAAAAAACAAAACAAACAAACAAAAAAAAAAAACCTTCTTATCTGCTTACAGCAAGATACACTTTTGCTGTTGCTGTTGACTTGATGGAGCCCAGAGTTCATTCACTCATTTACTCAGGCTGTTTATAGAAAGCTGAGCATACGCTGAGTGTGTCCTAATTAAGCTCCCGAACTCACTAGTAACACAGCCTTAGCCGTTGCTCTAGCTGAGGAGAAGAAAGGCTGATAGGAAGA